GGGACACAATGGGTCATCATCTTTCATTAGGCAGGCCAACTGTTGCAAACAACATGTGCCCACTCCAGATTTCAAATGATTTTGGGCTACTGTTTACTTATGATTCAGCCAATGGTGAGAATGCACCGTGGTCACCTGATGGGGGTGGGTGGGGGCTTCTATAGTGCCTGAAAACCTGCAAAATAATGGAGTGGTGGGAGTTGTCATGGTAACCCTAATTATTGTACTCTTCCCGAGTAAGTGTATGCAAGGAGGGTTGGAGAGCCTTGAGAATTCTTGTTTTTACGAAAGGCTGCTATTTACAAAGGAAGTAAGAGCAGACCCCATAAGGCTCGTACCATGGTCACAGAATAAAATCTTGAAAGAAACTGGGTGGATAGGAAAATGGTATGTTATTAGGAGAAAAAATTGATTTGTAGAGAAAGAAAATTAATTAAACCTGTTAATGTCAATAAAGTATATTCCTCACTATATTTGTAACTGTTGTACCAAGGATGTTTTGCTTTGAAGAGAGGTGATACACAAAGATTATGATACTGAAAAAATGAGGTGTTCCTTCAGGGTAGAGATATTTACAAATATTTGCACAAACATAACAGCAAGGGCCATTACAGTGACCAAGTGTTTAACGCAGTTAAAGTTAATTTTGTTTGCCCGCTTATGTGAACTTGCCTTCAGCAAATGGCTTTTTGGCCTTGATCAGCTCCATACAGAGGCTAAGGGAAAAAAGACACGCAGTCCCATACAGAAATACAGACACAAGTGTTAATGCCATGTGGAAGCCGGGTGACGCAGAGCAGCACCTGAGCCCTGTTGTTGCCCAGTTATTTGTCGTACAGTTGGCAACATGCAGGCCGCTCGCTTACCTCAGCAGAGCCTCTGTCCGCAGGCTACTGACCACAGATCCGTCCCGGCTGAGTGAGGACGATCTCCCCGGAGACCTGCAGTCCCTGTCCTGGCTCACCTCTGTGGACGTGCCCCGGTTGCAGCAGATGGCCACGGGACGCCTGGAGCTGAGCTCGGGCCCGCAGAGCGTCCTGCTGGGACAGCACACAGGTGGGAGCCCAAACACCCAACATACAGCTGTTTTTAATAACTCTCGTCAGCTTCTAGAAAATTCTACTTGCATGTATACAGTGTTTGAACATTTTTATACGTGCAAAATAATTTCAAGCCACTGAAGCTTAATTAAATCAATTTACGTGGTCAAAAGCAGCAATTTACAAAGCATTGGGCTATTAAAGGAATGTGAGATAATTGTGAAATCTTAAGCATTAAAGAATTAAAAAATTAAATACCCATATCAGGGCAAGGAAATGAAAATAGTCTTTGAAAGAGATTCCATCATAAATATTCATACTTAACCAGGAGACATGGACAATGTTTTTGTTCCAGTGAGTTTGTGTGAAGTTCATCCTGTCATTAACAAGGTTGTCTCTGGTTGTAGCTCACTTGACTGCTTCTGGGGGCCAGACCACGATCCACCTGCAGAGTAACATTCAGAACAACCTACTGGGAGTCAGCAGTCTTGGCACCCACAACATAAATGTAAGTGCCATTGGCCTTTTTGCGTGTGTTTCTTTCTGCATGAAGTAGACCACAGAAGATCTCATGACATGCCCCCCCCCCTCCCTCAGATGACACATTACTCACTGAACGGAGAGTCCTCCCCGAGGTTCCAGTCCCCTGCCACAGTCTACCAGGCTTCATCACAGCAAGTATTCACTCTGGCACAGACTGGTCAGCAGGTAACACAATTCAACATATAGATCACAGCTATATGGAACTGCTTATGGATTGGTGGTCTACAAATATATTGCCAAAATATGGCAGATTTCATACTTGCAAGTCATTACATTCAATATCTCAATTTACCCTCCTTCACAGTATTCCTCTGCTGGTATTTATGGCAGCAGCTCATTCACCGGCCAGAGCCAGTTCAGCCAGACCCACCTGACATCTCATGGCAATCAAGAAATACAACCCAAGTCCTTTCCAAAACCCATCTACTCCTACAGGTAAACCCTCAGTGGGCTGTATACATCACCCAGGGGCGTAGGAACCAAGGGGAATGGGGGGGATGTGTATCCTCCCAAAAATAGACCTTTACATTTAAATAATTTAGCTCTGTCCTCCCCAATATCAAACCCTCTCCCCATGCGTTTGACGTCAGCTCAATCTCAAGAATCATCCAGATTTTGGAGAGCCATGGATATTAAACAGATAACATTTAGGTATCTCCTCAGTTGTCTGATTGCTATGGCTCTGAAGAACAGCAAGACGGGCAGCCTCCCGGTCAGTGAGATCTACAGCTTCATGAAGGAGCACTTCCCCTACTTCAAGGTGAGCTTCTGCAAATGATTCTTTTTCAGAAGGGGAACCAGTGTCGGCACAAGGAAACATAGTTATAGCAAATCAACTAAAGGAGTGGCCTTGGTAAAAGATTTTGGAGCTAGTTAGCAGTTAGTTCAGTCAGGAGTACAAGCTTATCCAAATACTGTCTCAACTCAAGCAGTTAAGATTAAAAGCACGAAATGCCAATACAGCCTTGTTGGCCAAGACTTCCGTCACCTGATCGAGATATCCTTTTGTTCCATCAAATCATCCTCAGACTGCACCAGATGGCTGGAAGAATTCGGTGCGCCACAACCTGTCACTGAACAAGTGTTTTGAGAAGGTGGAGAACAAGCTGAGTGGCTCATCGCGCAAGGGCTGCCTGTGGGCCCTGAACCCCGCCAAGATCGACAAGATGGAGGAGGAGATGCAAAAGTGGAAGCGCAAGGACCTGCCAGCCATACGCCGTAGCATGGCCAACCCGGGTAGGCAAGGAGCCTTATGGGGGACAGCAGTGGGCGGCAAGTTAGAGGGAAGCTCAGGACAGGCAAGCTGGGGCTCAGTCAGTCCCAGATGGTATGAACAGGATCAAACTGTATAAATGAGTAAAGCATGCCTGCTACGAAACCTTGAATCAGTTTATAAGCCATTGTCATCACTCAGCATGTCAAAAGTGTCTTTACAACAAGGGTAGGTATACAGTGTCCATTCAGGCCCGTAGTCTATGGTCCTGGCCTCTTTGGGACAGGATTCAAGTTCATTTGGTGCAGAATATGTATAAGTCAAGTGCTACTAAAGGGCAGCCTGTTCCTCTCATGGAAGAGAGATCCCATCCTTCCTTTGAGAGCTGCTTAGTAATCAAACATCTTCTTGCTGCTTTCCCAGATGAGTTGGACAAGCTGATAACAGATCGGCCAGAGAGCTGCCGGCGGAAGCTGTGCGATGGGGGAGTGACCAGGATGTCCAGCTGCCTGGCCGGCCTGGCGCTCCCGATCCAGCTGCAGCCTCAGCCGGTGATGACCCTGTCCCTGCAGTGTCTCCCGCTGCACCACCAGCCGTCGGCTCAGGCCCGACCGGCTCCCAGCTCGCCCGCACTCGCCCAGACGCCCCCACACCACACCCCCGACATGTCACACAGCCCCATTGCCCAGCATCATGGGAAGCTGGCTCACGATTACCACAACCTTCATGTAGATGTGAGCACTGAGGTGGACGGCCTGGATCCCAGTATCATGGATTTTGCCTTACAAGGTGGGTCTCTGCACTTATCACTCATTGGAAACATATAGTAGAACTGTAGCTCAATAAACAGCGAGACAGACAGACATGCCACCAGAAATACATGACCTGTTTTTCCACAGGGAACTTATGGGAGGACATGAAGGACGAAAGCTTCAACCTGGAGACGCTGGACGCTTTTAGCAACTCCCCGCTACGGCTGTCTGACTGTGAGCTTGCTGTGCCCAGCCTCACAGCTCTGTCCAGCGAAGGCAGCCCGTCCTTCTCGGACCTGCAGGTGACAGGCCTGTACGCCACCTACCCCGCCATGGAGAGTGTGTCAGCGCAGTACATGGGCGCACAGGGTAGCAGCAAGCCCATAGCCCTGCACTAGCTTAGGCAAGCTTTACTGGCAGCATAACTGCATGAACAAAGTGGAGGAGAGAAACTAAATCACTATAGTAGCAAAACTCATCTTGAATCCAACTCCACCAACGGTACCAACAAATTTTGACTGACTTCAAGAGCTGCTGTTTTCCCTCACATTCTTCTTTAGTTCTCTACTCTACAGTGCACAGCTACTCAGTTTGTGGCATTACAGAGTCACTGAAACGAGTCGTCGACCATAAACGAGATACTCATCCAGAGAGACTCATTTCTTTTTAAAACCACATTACTTTGTAAATATGAATTCTTAGCAGTAAAAAGGCTGCATCAGTTTAGCTGACTAACATCAAAGACAGTAGAAGCGGGAAAAAAAAATATTCCTGTGGATTTCTTTTACCTCAATGAAATGTTAGCATTAATGATGGTACTTTTATGTGCTTTTACCTGTGCTAGACAGTATTACTGTGTTGTATGTGTTTATTTATGACTTGTAAATGTGAGAGACGCCAGTGAAGCACTGTGTACATTTGTAACAGCCGTGATGGCTCTCCCTGCAACAAAAAATGACATTAATTTATAATATCAAGAATGCAAGAGTTTGAGTGTTTACACCACATGCACCACCCAAAGCGATGACTTGTGCAGATATTCTGTTAAATGGCTTTTTTTTTTTTTTTTTTATAACGGGCAGCTTAATCTGCACCGTGATCCAAAGCCTCTGCGATGGTGTCTGCTTACACAGCTCATATCATAAACACTAACAGAGGGGTAGCTGTGACGTTTCAGCAGCACAAACATCATAAAATGTACTTAATTTCACACATAAGCGTTTTGACATTTATACCATTTTGTATGTTAGAGTGCTATTAAACCAGTTTTAAAACTAAAGTACTAAAGACAAAAAATTTCTATTCATAAATACAACAAAATCTTAACTTTGTGAACTTTTTAAAAATGCACTTGTATCCCGTTGTTGATTAAACTGGATTGACAACACAGCAGTAAAGCCTTTTTCGGTTACCAATGAGGCTTCGGTCTGATGATTCACTCACAGCTGGTGAGACCTTTCAACAGACGTTTTATTTAAAAATAGCTTTTCATAATATAAATTTTAATTCCATACAGGAGTAGGCCAGACACACTGTATTCACATAACAGCACTTGCAGTAATAATATCTACTGAGATCCTCAACGAAACTGCTCACACTACAGAGGGCATTTGCTTCAGATAAATGCATCTTAACGAGGCACACTGCTTAAGTTACACAGGGTAGCATGCAAACACACACTTGGTAATGTGCAGCTCTATGAAACAGTGTCAAATATAACCTTTCAGTGTCATTCAGATTGAAATGGTAAGATGCCACACTGCAGAACCAACTACAGCCTTTGTGAGTCACACTCATACAATCAGGCAAATATCTCCTCCCCAAGTAAGGAGACTAGTTATGAACGTTAAATCATACTGATGTTTAACCCCCACCCCCATGAAGAACAGGCACTATGTATGGATTCCCCTAGCCATTTAAGTGTTAGACGAAAAAAACAAGCACCCCCCCCCCCCCACAAAAGGAGAGGAGTGTCTTGTAAATAAAACAGTCAACACATGTTGAAAATAAAGACAGTGAAATGTGAAATAACGCCATTTTAATACCTGTTACAAGACCGATAAAGAACTTTCATGCTTTGGTGGGGCTGATTTGGGGCGTTTCGGAATGGGAAGAGAGAGAAGTGAACCTGGGTGCATTGTTTAACTTAAAAAGCGAGTGGTCAAGTGTTTAGGCACTGTGCGCTAGGAGGACAGGGAATTCTCTTTGTGCGCAGTTACAGGTGGTGGTCACATGGTGACAGCAAAACCCTGAGAAAAACTTTTCAGTAGTAAGCAGGCAGTCGAAGGTCAGAGTCTCTGCCCTTTGATATGCGTGGCCCTCAGTCCAAAAAAAACACTGGCTTTGTTTTGTCGGATACTGGAAGAGGATGGGAGCTGGCACAGTGCTGAGCGGAGTTCAGAGGTCAACTGCTGGCTGTGCTGTCCATGGTGGCCAGCAGGTGGGAGATCTTGGCCCTCTGGGAAGATGTGATGTTCTGGCTCATATGGATGATGCAGTCCATGGCCACCTCAGGGTTCGCCTGCACCAGGCTAAGGATGCACAGAGAAAACAGGCCTTAGGTGACAGGTACAAAACATTAGAAAATGTCAGATCATAAGTCACTCATCACCAAATTCTAACACAATACTTGTATAGGAGGGTTGCAAAAGTATTGTGCAATTGACCTGCGCAGCCAACTTGGTGCATTGTCCATCATAGTAATGGAGTAGTCTTGCACATGAATGCAAGCAAGTTGGGTCAAGTAGGGCTTCACTTTCACACCAATCATATTCAGTACCCTGCATGTAGTGACGCAAAAACGGTATGTATAACATTAAAACTAAAGTAAAATTAAATAAGAGCTAACAATATAAAGATTAACTGATATCACTGGATGTGACCCATACACATTAAAAGCATCATTGTTGCGAGCCACACGCTGTAGGATAACTTTAATTATCCGTTTTTTGTTGTTGTGGGTAATTCTGTGCCTTTATTTCTGGATGGGTACAAGAACATTTTGGTGTATTCATGGGTAAGAAAAGGTATAAATCACATGCTTATTATTTATCATCAATTTTTAATTATTGTTTATCGTTCTTATTTTTGTCATGTAATTGTAACAATAAGCCAGTACTCTGTTTTGTGTGATAATGTTAACATTACTCTGCTGTGCCTTTTGCCATTGTCATTACAACAAATCTGGTTTGATCACATAAGTGAATGTAATTTAAAGGTAAATTGCAAATGCGGTATTGTGGCTTTCATTTGGCTGAAGGGACTGTGAGTCATTTTTTTTTTTGCGTTCCTCTCTTGGCGCCCAGGCTCCTCTCGTCACACTGCTGCATCCCATATTCACTGTTGAGGCCCAGTCTATGTTGCCTCTGCCATAGTAGCTGGTTTACCTAATGTGAAAGGGTAAGATTGGCCATTAGGATAACGTTTCCACGTTGTACACATTCGGTTTTATGTCATCAGCTTACCTCCCATAAATTACATGCCACAAAAAGCCATAAAATTACTTGTATTCACATGAGGTTACATCAGTCACCACAAACATAAACAGAATGGGGATCATGACATACTGTAGCTTTAGCATGCTAATTAAAATGAAGCCAGCGTTCACCAGCTAACAAAGCCCAGCAATATCATCTACAGAAACAAATAGATGAAATAGTACGAATTTTAGCGTTATTCTTACCATTTACATAGGGATCTCCACAAGCACCAGCTCTGTTAAGGTTCTTCTCATTGACGTCTTCATCAGAGATGCTGTGTAGCCACTGTGGGCTCACCTGCTAGATAAAATGTCACCTCCCCTCTTTGGGTTTTAATTTTGGGAACCCTACAGGATCCTATATCTCCGTCATGAACTCTGTTGTTGCAGCTCAGAACAGTACACCTTACCAAGATGAACGCGGCAAAAGAGCGCGGACAGCACACACGAGGATCACAGACCAGGCGGGAAACACTGCACTGGTGTGGCAGATGATGCCTCTTTCTTGGTGTGAATGGTACAGTGTGACATCAAATGCAACCCTCCTATACATATACAGCGTTTATTAATTATACAGACTTTATATCTGGTTATACATTTTCACCGAGATGTTCCGAGATAAATGTACAATCTTTCACCAGCGACTTGTGACCCATGACCCATGACCCCTGACCTGCGGATGTGCTTCAGAGCGTAGTCTCTCTTTAGGTACTTGATATTCTCCCTGATGGCAGAGCGCATTCCATCGTCCTCCGCCAGCTGTTTCTCTAGCCACTCCACCACCACCTGGTTATTGTCCCACAGGTAAGCCTGAAAACCACAGAGACTTTGGTGGTCACACACACTAGTCAACCAGACCCACACGATCATTTTCACTGTCACCATCCTCATTGTGACACAGTTCCAGACAAATTAATATTCATGTCTGGTTCCACTGCTAGAACGGGCTGCACAACTAATCATAAAAAACCACAATCTCATTTCTTAATTACAACGGTTCTTCTGCACATTGTATTACATCAGCTGGATCAAAATAAGCGTTTCTACTTTTCCCCAGAGTGTCTCAAGCATCCCATAATTCTGCATTCTCTTTAAATGGCACTTTTACACCACACCAGGTACTATACTTTTGGTACTTCATGACCACCAAAAGTACGGTACTTCAAGGTGTTGGTTTTCCACTGTCATAAAAACCGGTAATGGCACTGAATGATATCACAGCGAGAGGTGGAGTATTTTGTACTGAATTCGAATCATGGCTATAGTATATTATAGGGCTGGCCGATGTGTGATATTAATACCAACATCGCATGTTGTGCATGTGCAATTCTTACTTCGCCAGTCAACTAGATTAAGACCAGGCTTTTCTTTACTTTCAATCCTGTATACGGACATCGTAGCTCAGGGAGAATAAGTTTTGCTAAAACATTTTTTCTGTCATAGGAAAAAAAAAACTTACATTTTGCAATTTTAATTATTATTCCTATTCAAGATTATCTAGTATATCTTTAAAAATCAGTTTAAAAGTTTACCAACGCTGCTTTTGCATTACAGCTGCATATGTTCTCTGAGACTATCATAATTATTTTCATCCATGCTGTTTAAATCACTCTTAGACAGGTTGAGAAATTTGTTGAACTCCTCTTTTTTATTTGATAAATAGCCCAATATTTATTAAAACAAAATCACACTGCAATACTTAGAAATTTTCCAATGTCGTGCTGCCCTAGTATATTATACAAAATACTTTATTTCTTTTTATGCTATCCTGATCTCTGGTTCTTCTAACCAGATCACTGTTAAAGCTTGTCCATCCATCCATTATTATTATTATTATTATTATTATTAAATTATTATTATTATTATTAGTCACCTCATTTATCATTGTTTTCTGAGTTTGCAACTGTTTTCAAGACGGCAGTTGTTTTGCGTTTCAGAAGCAGGCTATTTGCATAACCGATCAACAAAGAAGGCGTTTCAAGTCCCACCCTAAAGTACCAAAAAAGTACCCCACTGGCACTTTTGGGTACCCTAACTGAATGGTCAACTGACCGTTTCCCTTCTGTTGTCAGTAGTTGATATGCTGGTCCCGGATCAATCATATGTTTGGCACAGTCATGTTTTGCTGGGTTTCCTTTTGCAGCTTAATGAGTGCAATAAATGTTTATATTTGAGGAAAACATATTGTTACAGAGAATCGTAATTAATTCAATTTAAAGCAAAAGAATTGCAATTTTTTCAGAATCGTGCAGCCCGACCCGGAGCACCGCGTCCCTGGTCTTTACGCACCTTGACTGTGCCCTCGGTTTCCACAAACCAGCGGCGTAGCATGGACTGGATGTGTCCGTCGCTCAGCTCCTTGTTGGCGCACAGGATCTCACTCTTGACTACCTCCTCCAGGAGAAGACGCCGAAGCCTCCAGTAGAAAAAGACGCGGGCATTCTTCCAGTCCAGAATGTCCTACATCCAGAACCAGCAGTAAGTAAAAAAAAAATGTTTTCACAAAAAAATTAATGCGAGAAATCAGATGTCACAAAGAGAAGAAAGTCAGAAACAAAGGGACCCACAGTGATTCATAAACCTCAAGTACAAGCAGGATTATTTAAGCAGGTGATAGAAAAGTAGAAAAGCACAGGAAGGTTAAGAAAAATCATGCTGGATTATACAAAAGTGATTTGCAATATAAAAATAAAGTGGACAGGGAGCATGTACTCACCGTAATAACACCTTTCTCCTGCATCCTGCCAGGCGTGTCATGCAGGTCAACAAACTGCACTGCCACCTGGTGGTAGATCGGGAGCAGGAACTCCTCCCTCTCCCTCAACTTGGCCTCCAGATCCTTACGTTCCTCCTCTGGCAGTTCCGGACTTCCTATTCCAAATGGAAAGACACGCCAGATTACTCAATCTGTGCCATCTTTGTAATATCAAAGCCAACAGTCATTCACATAAAGAATTACATTTGCGTAAGGAAACAACCCTTTACTCAGTATGACTGAATGCATTAAAGATCACCATTTAATATATTAATTGTTCATCTGCTGATCTGCTCTGGCTTTTCTCACCAAGCTGCTCGACCAGCCGGAAATAAATCTGGTCGATCCTGCGCATGGTCTTCAGCAGGTCCTTCTTACGGAACTTGATTTCCACCGTGCCCTCAGGTTCCAGTACGCCACCCCTGCACAGACCGGGGCCATATGGTCAGGCAGTTAACGTCGTGTTAACAGAGCTGTAGCTAAGCCTCACTGGTGAAGAGGTGCCTGCCCACCTGCTCTCCCGGTCTGCATACAGCTCCATGTACAATGGGTTGATGGTCGGGTCGATGACCACCCAGGAGCCCCCGCGCAGCTCGGCGTGGGGAGGGATGTATACCAACACGGGCTGGTGGAATTCGCGCAGGCTGTCCACGATGTAGGCCCCGAACTTCAGCACCTGGTCGTACATGTCTGGGAGAGGTGCTGCTACGTCACTTAAGGGGATTCAGCTTCGAAGCTCATTAACATGCACCACAGGGTCCAGTGGAAACCCGTTTACAGGAACCAGAGGCACCATGCAGAACTGCGGCTATGGATTTGCACTTATCATCGAGGGGCTTCCTCAAATAGCCAGCAGTAAAAATTCAGATACAAGCATAATAACTGCTCAACATTTTTTTTATTATAATATAACAATTATTAAGAGCTATATAAATAAATAAATAAATTATTAAAATTAGAATTTAAGAATTAGAATTTAGTGATCAGTGGTCATTGTCAACACACCACAGCACAGCACACAGTGCGCAACAACGAAATGTGTCCTCTGCATTTAACCATGAAGTCACCACTGCCCAAAATTTCACATTACAAAATTATACCATAATGCTTTTGGATGAAAACAAAAACAGTAGAAGCTATTTATGGCTTATTAGTTGAAAAAAAATGGAGCAATAAGCTAAAGGTTTCCAGGACCAAGTCTAGGAGTGACTCACTCTGCCTAGCAATTGGTAGTTGTAATATCCACCTGCATAAAGAGGTGAGAGTACAAGTGCCTTCGGACAGAAGCATTAGCTATGCAAGCATCCATGCAGCCATCTGCTCTTCCTCAGTACAATGTCACAGTATGCGCAGGCCTGTCTTTAGGAGGCACAGGGCACTGTACACGATCCGTATGTCTCAGGCCTGTCTTTAGGAGGCACAGGGCACTGTACACTATCTGTACAGCCTTCCTGATTTGTCAATCTCATCATTGCCTGGGCACGGTTAGCAATCACTAAATGCGTACAGTGCCAGTGACTAGTGATCACACTAGTCAAACGAACTTGACTTTGTGGGTCAAATGTGCTCGAGCATGGAACTGATTGCCCAGTGTGTGTACATTCTGAGATTACAATGCTACCTAAGGAGCATCCAATTAGATGAGCAACAAAAGCAAAGATACAGTAATTGGTAGAACTGTGCGAGTTACCCTTCATTCCTCCAGAGAAACCTCTCCAATTAGCAAACACCATCAACGGCAGCCGCTCGCGGTTGAAGTCCCGAATGGCCTGAGCCGTCTTGAAGGCGGAGTCCGGGAACCAGACCTGACCGGCCTGCTGCAGGAGCTGAAAGCAGGAGTGGCCGTAAGGAAGGGTACCGTTCAGGCAGTTATCACAGGAGTATGGGATGATAAGGGTGAAAACCACTCACTTTGGCTTCAGAGTCCAAGTTGGCTGGATCAGCGGGTATGGCCACTTCGACAGTGCGTGTCTCCACGGTGATGACCCCTAGGGGAATCCCTCCTAACCTGTGAGACGTTCTCCAGTTAGCTTGTGAAAAATGCATTTATTGAACTAGAGAGATCCAGTGGCTTCAAATCTATATTTACCTTGCTCTGCCGACCACCACTGTCTGAGCCCATGACTTCATGATCTCCATAAATGACCCATGGTCAAAGAAACCAGACTGCCAGGCTCCTTTTATACCTGTAAGCAAGATCCCAAATCAGTCAAAAGTGTTTTTGCTGCAACTATAGCAACAAATCCTCATAGACACTAAAGACAGCAAATGAATGACCCAAAAGGACAGAAATCTTCATTTATTCTCATTGTTTGCCATGAACGATAACAGGGGTACTCAGTAGGTGGCTATGTTATTGGGGGCAGTAGACCCTGGCTTTGTGCTGCTGATGGAATTTGGACCTCAGGGAAAAATAACTGAGCACACCTGATCTATACAGTGCAAAACATGCAACCAAATGATAAGATACCAGAGTCAAAGTACAAAATCATCCACCCCTTTTAAAAAAGGCATACAACATTATATGAGGGTCTTACTGGGGTGGGGCCTCCCTGCCAGCAGCCAGCGGGGGTCATAGGGGGTCTTGGTGGGAATGAAGTCGATCTCCCTCTCAACCGGGTCCACCGGGGGCAGTACGGGCACTGGACTGTTTTTGGTCTGCAGTATGAACAGGTATGCGGGGCTTGGAGTATAAACTTTTCCAGAAAAATCTAAATTGTGTTATCTTGTGTAAATTGTATATCTTGGCACTTTCTAGACGTTCCACAGGACTTTCAGATTCTCTATCCACCTGAGCCCTTTGATGTTTGGCTAAGTAATTATTTTGGAGGCCTTTCCTACCTTTGGCATATAGGACAGCCACTGCAAGATGGTGAAGACACCCTCAAAGTCGTCAGGCACTGTGGTATGTGTGACCCCGTTGTCATGCATGATCTGAATGCCGCCCAGCTGGTTGTTGGAGGTGTAGACCTCACGGCCCAGAACCTGACACAGCGGGGTGGGGGGGGGGGGGAAGGGACTCTGTTATGCCTGATGCAATGACACACACTTGGTTTTTGCTGTTTGAAAGGCTTGTATAGTTTCTGCTGCTACACTATTTCAACTTGTACCTGGGTATTCACTGGAAGCTCAGTCTAGTTGCACTTATGCCTAGATGACTCCCTGATAGGCCTGAACGTTTAACCAAATCCAAATCGAAATTGCGATTTGAAACAATGCAATTAGTAAATCGCAAAGGCTGCGATTTAGGTTATGCATTATACAGCATGTCTGACTCTGGATTTAAAACTTTTGTGTGAATAGTTTTACAAAATTCACGCCATCCTTGTGTGACAGTCATGCTCATCAATCAGAAATGCTATGCTCCACATGTACCAGTCACGCTCACCAGTCAGAAGTAGTGGTGTAACGGAATGTAGTTGATTTGTACAGATTCCCCCCAACAGCTTGACACACACATGAACTCTGGATTCATTGCAAAGTTTAACCATAATAGTGGGAAATTTAGTTTTACTGCCAATTTAGTTACTTGCTAAATTGTGATGCTACAGAAGTCCATAGAGGTTATGCATTCTGGAGTATTTCTCAATACCAAGAACGCAAAGATTGTACTTGTGGTCTTGGGAAGCACGATCTTGCTAACTTGCCAGCAACTTGAGATGCAATGAATTGTTGGATTGTTCTCATTTTGCGAGGATGTAGCCGGTGCATCCTTGATATTTGAGGAGGGGCAAGAATGACATCGGAGGATTTTTACCATCCTCTGTATGGTCTTCGCCAATGGAAGACGACGTAAAACAGAAATGTGAAAACAGAAGTATGGTCAAATACACGTTGAGAACCATCCCTGGGCTTGAAATTCATTTATCACAATGGACAAGAATTCCTCCTTTGTGTGTAGCCATACAAAAAAAACCTGCACAGATTTAAAAGCATTAGCCATTGCATTTTTAGTGAAATCCGCTTCCCTCTTTCTCTTGACAAACACTGTTTACGCGTTTAATTATGACCTGCAACTTTTCATTTCCTGAGAGAACAACTTCTGCTATTTTGTGATCTCAAGAAAATAACTTGTGAACTCGAGAAAACAAAACTGCCATGTTGACATCCTGAGAAAAATAAGGTGTGATTTTGACATATGACAGAAAAAGAATGACGGATGTCCTCCATGGACTTCCATATAATGCAGAGTTGACGTGAAAAGATACAAGATAATTGTGTGTTCACGTGAACGGGGCATGTTAAAAGCAGCTGACAGTGAGTTATGGCTACTGGAAGGGCAGAACAACTTGAAAAATGTTTTACATCTATTATGCAGTGACTTAAACTGAAGCTTGACTTTAAAAGATATCGCGAATCACAATTAGATATTTTCCCCAAATCGATCAGCCATTCCCAATGACAGCCATGTTTGTAATGTGTTATCTGCCCCATTTGAGCGTTACTTTAGACATACGTGTCCGCAAACGTCTGACATAAATGACCTGAAAAATGTCCCTACATTTGGTCCTCGTAATATGATAAATATAAACCCACACACACACACACACACACACACACACACACACACACACGGGCACATGCACAGACGCACACATGCACCTTATTGAGAGCCCCAGCACCAGTCAGGATGATGTGGGAATTCTCCACTTGGATGACTCTCTGTCCTAGACGGACCAGGTATGCTCCAATACCAATAGCTCGACAAGTCACCTGCAAACACACACACATAAATTTATGCCTATTTGGTCACACAGAGTGGCTCTTCCCCAAGAAAGGTTACTTTTTTGAACCCTACCCATAACCGTAACTCAAAGCACCAATGAATAAATTCAATGAGAGGCACATGAAGTAGATAATTTTGCACATAAACCTGTCCTTTAGAATATCCTACAGTCCACAGCCGGACCTTCGTCTCACCAGGCTGATTGTGACAATCTCGTCATAAGCCAGGGACGACTCCCCTGCAATGGTGCCAGAACCTCGCAGATTCTCCACACCAAGCCCCTCCTCCTTCCCGATGATGTCGGTGATAATGTACCTAAGAATGCAGAACCAAGACAGCATGGCACCGTGTCAGAGGGAACCTCTCACCTGTCATGGCACCAGCCATTGTAAGCTCTGCACTGACAATCCTCTCACTCCACTCATTGGCTCTCTTGACTCAGTCTTAAATTCTCAGAAACCTCTCTCTGCTGTTCTAGCCACATCGCCGATTCCCCATCCTCCCTCCAGTTACAAAACACCAAACTATACAAGAACCCCCGGCACCTGGACTCTCCCCCCTCTTCCACATGCTGACAGTGCACAGAGTTGCTGGAGCTGATGCGGGTGTAGTCCTGGGGGGTCAGGTACAGGTATTTGAAGCCCTGTAGGGATGAAATTCCACAAAACAGCAGCATAAAGATGCCAGCCTGAAACAAGTGAGTGGAAAAACAAACTCTAGCAACCCATGGGGTCAGGATGAAGGGAAAAGAACAATGAAGTGAGAGTGATTCCAGGATACTGTCAATAACAGCCTCACCCAATGGGAAGAAAGGAACATACAGCACGTGGTTAAGATCAGCAGGTGACTGATGGCTTGCAGTATCCCACCAACCATAACATGTTAGAATAGGAGAGAGATGCTTCATTCATCCTCAGAGGCAAATCCTCTTTTTGCTTTGCTCAAGGGTGCTATGGACATAACTATTCTGCCGAAGCTGGGCTCAAACTGGCAACCTTTTGATCACAGGCTCAGAGGCTTAGCCTGCTTTGTGGCATTTACTTGACATATTGGGATGAAGTTGACGATGGGTCTTGAAGGCTGGTCCTACCTTGTACGGATCCTGGGGGTCGTTCCAAGCCACCTGGAACATGTGACGCACCTCCTCGGCCAGGCCAATGCGCGCCCCGCTGTTGGCGGCAATGTAGATGCGCGGCAGCCCCTCGGCCCGCGCCAGCTCCGACGCACGCAGGAACAGCAGGTCCTCCTGTGGCCCGAATGAGCCGATCATGTAGGTGATGTCATTGCAGATCACGATGATGTCCCGCCCTTCAGGGTACTCTGGTGTCTTCATCTTCATTCGAAAGGCCACCATTCCTATCTGAACAAATAAGGAGTCAATTACTATTTGAAGTTTTAAATCTGGATCGTGGTGAGCAGGAGTTCTGCACAGAATCTCACAGAAGCACTTAACTGACTTAAATTTAGCCTCCTGATTCTAATTAGTTTCTTTAGCAGAATTACCAGGACAATCCCATGTGACAATCCAATGACAAGCTCTATTCCCCAAAAGGTGGTTTTCAGTTATATTCACCTCATCTGGCATGTCAGGTGATGATAAAATTCTGAAACCCGTGGACACCTCCTACAGCTCCATCCATGAAGACTAGTCACTCTCCTACCTCATTGTCTCCAGGAAGTCGGTTCATCTGTACCAGTTGGCTCTGGGGGTCCAGTACCAGCTCAGTGCATGTCAAGACATCCTTGGGGTAATTATCTCCTGAGCCCCAGATCTTAAATAGGGCCTGTGGAGATGAGACCCACAGGGGACAATGAGAGTCAAAGGCACCAACCCAGCAGAAGAGGAACTGGACAACAGCGTACCTGTCGAAACATCTCAGGAAAGTCATAGACGTAGGTGGTCCCCAGTGTTTGGGCTTGAAACCTCTTAGACTGCAGGAGGTCCTTGGTGACATAGGGTGTGTTGATGAGCATGCCCTGCAGGAGGCCCTGCTTGTCCCCATAGGACTGGAACATGATCTGGGGAGATAGTCACCGACTTATACTTGTTTTTACTGCAAAGTCTCTAGGGATGTAATGAAAAACGTAATATCGCAATAAAAAAATACCTCGAAACCATTGTCAGACTGTTACGATATCAACCACGATATCATGTGATTATTTCGGTCGTATAAGCTCAGTCTCAAAAAATACATACTAATAAATTAAATACATACTAAAAATACATACTAAAAAATACATATTAATAAATGCTTTGTGCTCTATTGGCCTTCTGTAAGCCACATGAAAATAGGTCATTAAATCTATTACTACTACAACAATAATTTATAAATTGGTGAAATAGAAAACAAGAACACATTTCCAGTATATTAACAAAACCACTAAGAAAAAAGACAATTGTATGCAGATTGCAGGTGATGTCACGACATAACGTGGAGAGTGCGAGTTTTTTCTTTTTGTTTTTGCAGAAGCGGTTGAGGCTGGCTGCAGCGAGTGCTAACAGCAGGCTGCCATAGCATTTAGAATACGGTAAAGAGAAAACTAGCTAAACTCAGCTTATGTGGTGTAAGAAGATTTTTTTTTAATTAACTAAAGGAAAAGGAAGATGGAAGAAATGTTTTAAATCATGATAAATTGTTTTTTTCTGCACTACATTGACTCTTCCGAAGATTTGGAATGGATATTCCTGAATGTGCTTCGCCGGACAGGGACCCACCGAACGGAGTTCATAGCAGAGTGGGGAGCTGGACCCATGGAGCAACGGTGAAGGATGTGTAGAGGAAACTTTGAATTTCTTACAACATGTGCAGTTAGGATATGATGGACTGAATTGAACTATATATTGACCTTTTGGCATTGTTATGCCTGAATTGAATGGTATATCAACCCTTGGATATTGTTATGCCTGAATGGCATACCATGTGATTTTGTTTTTTCCTGGATCTATTTGCGAGGTACAAATAGGGCAGGTGGTGCTTCAGAAGTGCAACGAGATGACATCATTAAACGAACGCCAGTCAAACATTACACACAGTAGATACGATATAAAAATAGTGATAGAAATATGACAGTTCTGTATCATTCAGCTATTTTAATACAGATGTAGACGATTCTAGCAATTATGCAACAAATAATCGCAGTCAGCTCAAATAATATGAGATAATTGCAACAGGCCTACTGCAGAACATTCCAATCAGGGAATGTGATTGTTCCCATTGTTCAAAAGGGTTACCTGCCCAGAGGTGGGGTCGGTGACCTCCTTGTACAGACTGATGTCCAGATAGTAGCCCGACTCGTTGGTGAGGAACAAGCGGATGGGAATTGCCATTCCCGTGGGTGTCAGGCGGATGTTGATCTTCAGCTCTGCCTGCAGGACACGCAGCTTCCACAGTCGACTACCATAGCGCATCACCATGGAGCGGACAGACTCCTCTATCTGATGGACAGACAGTCAGTAAATACTTTCATGATGACCCAAAGTAACCATCTCTTTTGTAAGTTGTCATAATCAGTAAGGGCCTGTCAGATAGACTAAAGGGGTCGCACTAACTTTTGATGGGTCCATTATCACTGTGGGCACGAAGTTCAGGAAGATGTGGTTGCAATCTGTGCGCACAGCGGTGTTGCTGAAGGCCACTTCCAGCTCATCCATTGCCTCCAGCAGGAGCCTCTCGCCCTCGTTCTGCAGGTACTCAAAGGAGGCCTCCTGCGGGCAGGAACCACATATGCCATCCTAAGCTCAGCTTAAGTTTCCCCCCAGAAACCCTCTTGCACAAGTACATTTAATAGGGTACATAACTGTGGTTCATCAAAAGTACCCAGTAAACTGGTTTAACATTAGTGCTAAAATTCAGTTACTAATTATTCTACTGGACATAGTCAATCAGTCAACCATTTGACTTGTCACTTTTCAGCAGTTGGTTAATCAGTGCTAAGCAGAGGAGTCGCTGTCCTGTGCTGTGTTACCTTGGTGATGAGGTCTGAGTGGCGTATGATGGCCCGGACAAAGAAGCGGTAGTCAGTGACCTCAGCGCCCTCCTGCACACGGGCAGCACCCAAGTACAGGTGCATCTTGTGGTTGGCACAGGGCAGCGCCTTCAGGTCGAAGTTGCGCATGCGGTTGAGCTCCAGCTGGAAGGCCAGCGCCGGCTCCAGGTTCCGGTAGATACGGTCCTCCTGGAACTGCGAACATCACAGGTAACACACACCGGTCATAGAAGTGAACAGAATTTAAAGTGAGCAAACATTATTATTTCTGCACCCATCCAAAAAGCATAGCAATATCTTTTACCTCATCTCTAGCTCTGAAGGTGAAGAACTTTGGAAATTCTCTCTGCAGATGAAAAATATTACAATTTATATTAGCTGAGATTTAGAAATGAAATTTCTAATGGATGTTAAGAAGAGTACTAAAATCCACATTAAGTACTTACTCGAAAAATTTAAATTTTCAGAAAAAAGGTGGTTTACCTTATTTGCGACCAAGAATGTTATTCTTCTGATGCCGTAATCAAAGAGTATACTTTTCTGCAAAAGATTGTTAAATTAGCTTAGAGGGATACAGCTCATCAAAATCTAATAGGTCATGACCCTGGCCCACCTTGGACTGAGCAAAAGTGCTGAAGGCTGTAACCAGCAGGTCATCGTCCTCAGAGTCGGCAGACCTGATAGCCACATTGATTATGTGAATCGGGTTGTCCTTCATATTCTGTAATGGGGGTGGGGGGGTGGGGGTTACATGGACTGCATCAACATCATGCCCTTGATATGAAAAGGGCCAACCCCCTCCCCTGCCCTCTTCTTGCCCCCCTGACCTTGCAGTTCTCCTCATCAAACAGGGTGGAGCACACCTCAGGGAAGATCGGGCTCTCCAGGGGGGGCTCGGCAAAGCTAGAGATTACCTCATCAAAATTCCTTCAAAACATAAAAATACATAGAAACCCTGTTCATGAGTCTCAATGCAGGTCATAGCTGTTGGTTCAGTTTTGAGGAACATAAGATCTACGCTCCGAATTTGAGAATAGCCGGGTAGAGACTGGTCTATATCACCTTGTCAGAATTTAGGGAGGCTTTTCCAACTTTATTGCACGAACAAGATCTTATTTAATTTTCAAAAGAAAAACTGCAAGAAATACCTTCTGCAGGCACTTGTGCCTCTGAGTCACAGTCCTTAATACATGAGCACCATTTCCCAGCCAAAGTGATGGCGCGTGACCTTTGAACTCTACCTCTTAAAGTCCTCAAAGCACTCAAAGGCAACCATGGCGCCCATCCTCTGGCAGGGTGGAGAAAATGCACCATCCAGGAAAAGATCACTGCTCTGTCGCCGCATCTCGAACTGGCCGGAACTCACCGGAACAGACACCCTGGTGGAGGTGTGGACAGAACGGTGGGTGGGGGCTGGAATAGCTGGGGGGTGGCAGGGGATAGGTGTTGGGGGAGCGGGCGGAATGCCGTTTGCTGGAGTGGAAAGGGCGGCGTTTAATAAAATGGGGTTGACTACTGAGAGCATCATGTCTGATGAAAGCAAGGCTGCAGCGTAGTGTGTACAACTGCTCTTCCATGAAGGTACATATGCGATAGTGTGCGACAGCGAAAGATACCCCACACAGCATGCACCAAATTCTTAGCTCCAGAAACACTTCAGTTTAAAAGACAAGCTAGCAATAAAAAAACAGACTGAGAAACCAAAAAACAAGTTAGAAGAGGTTGCCCATATAAAAATTAGAAGACGATTGTGAATATTTTCCATTAAAAAAAGATAGAAAAATGAAGCAGACAAGCATGCTACCTGAAGCGTAACGTACATACTGTCATGTTGCATAGATATACCACAGCAATAAGTAGCTGTACTCTACCTGTTCAGGGTAGGGCTGCTTCCTCTGAAATAAGACCATTAACATATCAGTGTTAGCAAGAGACCCTAAACTTTCACCGCTATGCAACAGAATTAGCTTTAGCATCATTTAGGGAAGGAAACCCCACAGCCGCATTCTCTGGTATGGCAGATACCACCACAAAAAAAAGCAGATAGGAAAACGTCAGTGTCATTCCACATGAAAAAGAGAAGCAGCCTATTAAGCCAGATTAAGGCAATAATGACCGGGGGGGGGTTAGAAAGGTCAGACTATGGTCTCTGCCAAATAGAAGCACAGAAGTGTTACCATCCTAAATTAGTGCTCTCAGTAGAAACCGCAGCACATCAGGGAAGATACTTAAAAAGAGAAGGTTCATTACTTGTCCTCAGGCACAGGACGAGCTACTCTGGCCAAATGGAAACTTTCAAAGGGAGAAATGGAGACAAGAATGATGAAAAATCACGACAAATCAAAAAATATACATTGTATTACAGTCGCCTGGCTTGTTAATGTTCAAAATATATCTGATATGTAGCTGTATGCAGTTTCCAGACATGGCCGTCCCCCAACACACGCAGACACACAGAGACAGACAGACAGACAGACAGACAGACAGACAGAGACAGACAGACACACACAGACAGAGAGACAGACACACACACACAGACAGACAGACAGACACAGACAGACACACACAGACAGAGACACACACACACACACACACACACACAGGAATAGATCCAATATTTTTACTTAAGTATATATATATATATTTAGCATAATTAAATCAAACGCCACCCATCACTTGTCTGATGTACCACAGCTTTCCCTTCTCCTTGATGCTTCCAGTTCCCACCAAACCAGCCTGAAAGCAGACAGTGGCTAATATCCGCTCTTTCAACTCAGCCCCCCCCCCACCTATCCTCTGCTGCCAGACACACAGTGGAGAACCATCCCCCAGTGGGACCAGCACAGGCACATACTGGGAATGTAAGGTCCGGAAGCTGCAGGAACGATACCTGTTGGGATGCGAGGACGGCAGCATGAACTGGAAGTCCAGAGCGCAGGTTCCACCCTGCAGCTGATGGTGCTGCAGGCTGTTGAGTTCATAGGCAATGTAGGCTCGTCGAACGTAGACCTGGCGGGCCAATATACCACTGCTTAGGGGTCGGGGGGGGGGGGTGTCCTTTCAGAGCCACAAGTACCACAGAAAACACACAAACCCACCCCCCCACTCACCTCCAGTGCTGCCATGCACACAACCCGGTTAGAGTGGTAGAAGAAGTTAGGCAGGACATCAAAAATGGATGTTTCAGACAAGATGAGTTTCTGCAAGACGTATATACTGTAAAAACCCAGACATATATACACCTATAAGCCATACGACCTGCATCTGGCGCAAGCGACAGCCTGGATCGCGTACCTTCAGGTTCTCAGGACAGAACTGGTGGCCATACATATCAATGGCTGACAGGAAGATGGACTCAACCTGGTTGTGCCTCAGTTCATATGAGGGCAAGTGAGAGGCGATTAAGACCTGCAGAAACAATGTTTGTTAAAATTATGGTACTTAACGCATTTACATAACACATTTTCCCCCCACTATGTACAACAAGAAATTAAATTTTGAAATCTGGGAAATACATAAAAATAAGTATAAAATATTGGTACAATAATCAGAGAAATATACAACATGAAATAATTAACATTTATCCAGAAACAAATGTTTAAGGTGGCCTTTGGGAATCAGCAGCAGGATCGCAGTTGGGCTCCTGGAGCTATATGACGACTCGCCTGTCGGGCACGCAGGGCCACCTTGGAGTTCTCCACCTTGCCGAGCTGGGTCAGTTCATTCAGGATGGCCATCAGCTCATCAGCCAGGGTGGGGTCTCGCCCACACAGCTGGTCCTGAGAAAGGCATTTCATCGGGGCGATCATTATTGTATCAGCAGCTGCAAGCAAAGTGGCAGATTTGCTTATGCTGCCATTAATGATGTTTTTCTGTCTGAATTGTCGGTCTCTCCTTAAAATTTCGTTTTTTTCTCCATTTATGTTCAGCGTTCCTGAAAAAGCATGGATATTATAGATATAGAACAAGACAGAAAATAAAATCAAGTAATACCTGCTTCCATTATAAAGAGCCTTTAAATAAAGCAGATATAGCATCATTTTTCCTGTCACCTCAAGCAACTGTAAAAGTCTAATTTAGAGACTGCTGCTTCGATAAGAACTCCCACACTGCTGCTGTTATCCAAGTTTCAGTTAGAAGCAGTAGATTAAGTCTGTATGCAGCCAGCAGACCATTAACTAAAAATGACCTGCACACTTACGATAAGCATGGTGACCAGGATGTTCTTCTTGGACACCTGAGCGTGTGAAAAGATGCATTCCAGCACTGGGGTCATGTCCGGTTTGAACTGCTCCCTCAGGTTGATGACACACTTGTCGTAATGTGCTGTTGATGAGAGCGACCACCCACACATCCTGTTACTGTGCTGCTTCCACAGAGATGGTATGTTGGGGCCGCCTCTAAAGAACATGCAGCCACACTCACCTTGTTGGAATTGCATCTCTACCTGCAGGTACCTCCTCAGCAAGTCCAGTACCACCGACTTCATGTACCCTCGTATTCCACTCCGATATCTGCAGATCACAAACGATAAACCCTGAGAAGATCTAGACAAATGGTTCTCAACCTTTTTGCACCACAACACAATTTTTACCATGCTAGATCAGTTCTGACCCTATATCAGGTATAGGTTTACATTAATACTATGATTAAGAATGCAGTGCACAGTGCAATTTACACCAATCAATGCTTATTGCACAAACCTGAATGGATGTGCCAGTGAATTTTAAATTAAGCATCAGTGGTTTGACTTTTTGGATTGGTTGAGTGAGTATTCACTAGCTTTGCGCTAAGCAGTTGCAAGACCTAAGTGAATTCTAGGATTTGAGCTGGGAAATCTGATTGTAGATCAGCATAGAGCCGGGACTCAAATTTGGGTTGCAACCCATGGGTTGAAGATTGCTGATCTAGATCAAGAACACCCATCTTTCAGATGATCATTTGTTACTAATTAGATATACAAAAAGCCTACATACCTATGGACATTGCAGGCTAAGGTGAAACACTCTTTGGTCTAGGAGCTGTGACAGCTATGAGAATCACCATTACTATACCATGAAATGAACTCTGACCTTTGCACAAGCTGCACAATACTCTGCGTATTCATGAAGAAGACCTCTCGATCGGCCTTTCTCTGCAGGGTTGCAGCATGGCTGTCCAAAATATTAGCAATCTGAAACATGAGAAATGTCACTGCACAGCTCAAGGTGGATGAAACAGAATTTAGCAAAAAAAAAAAAAATAAAAAAAAAAAAAAAAAAGAATAGCCGTATCAGACACTAGCACTCACCTGCTGGCTGGGAAACTGGCAGAGTACGGAAGTGATGTTGCTGGCATACTGGGCCATGACCTTGCGGATGGCCTTCTCCACTGGCACAGGGATGCGGCCCGATACGCTGGTCATGATCTCCTGAAGCTCCAGCAGAGGCAACGAGGGGTCTCGCAAGGTCTTCATGAGTGTGCCCACCCACTCTTTAATCTGGGCACAAGGCAAAGGGAAAAGTACCAGAAGGGTTCTTGCACTCATGCCACAACCTATTTTAACCAATAGAATTGAGAAGAGTAAAATGTTTTCAATGCCAAATCATGTCAATTAAGCAAGATGCTCTTGGCAAAGCAGAATGAAAAATAACTGAATAAGAAGGAAAAACATTTAGAAATGTATGAATTTCAGATTACTTGTAGGTTCATCAGCAGATATGAGCAGACCCTCAAACAGGCATATATCCAAATACCATGTACTTAGCAGATATTTGACCAAATCTGCACCTTGGTGCTAAAGTAAGGCTCCATGAGGCAGTATCCATCCATGACCTTGATGAGGTTCTCCAGCACATTGTGAAACACCTGGTGAAGCTTCTCCCCAACAATGGGGAGCGGCTGCTGGGCAGGGAGGGGTCTCATATTCAGCTCCACCTAGTGGTTTGGAGCAGAGTATAAGGGCTACCACTCATTTATACCGACAAGCCTGACCACTAAAGTGGAGGACAATTTCATAGTTGTGCGAGTTCCTCAGAGCACTGTAGACTTGCCGGGTGGAGTCGACTAGGGTCGTCCAGCTCCAGGCGGGCCACCACACAGCCGGGCTCCAGAACCGCCCCGGGCCTCTTGATGAAGTGCACGCAGCCGGAGTCCTGCACGTTCAGAGTCATCACCATCTTCATCACCTGGAGATATGCCACATGCCAGGTCAGCATACTGCTAACTGCAAAAACCCACATTCCAGCTCTGCTACCTGCAGTCTCTTCTGAAGTCTCTGAGCTTATAGTTAATCCAGACCAGTCATTTCAACAACTAAATTATCTACCACTTAATTGTGCTTAGGTTACACCAAGTACTAATGAACTGTTATTCTTTAGTGTCTTCTATAAATACAGACAACTTGGAAACTCATATACTATAGATCACAGCACAAAAAATTCATTGTCTTGCCTGGGCAGGTTTTTACCACCAAGTAAAACCACTAAATTAACTATGCTTTGCTATTAATTTGCACATTTCTCTTGGCAATACACATGCGATTTTGCAATTCCCACGTTCATCACCCAGAATTAGTGAGGGCTAAGGGAACAAAAAGTGTAACAAGTTATAAAGCTTGTCATTAAAAAGTGTTTAAAAAAAAAGAAAAAACACCCACAGCAGAATGAGTAAAACTATAACAGCAAGAATATTTTGTGTACTACTTTTCTATATACATTTTGATTGATAATAGAAGCATGTATAATCTCAATTAATAATCACTGACGATAATAAATCATTACGTGTTCTCTCTGGAAGGCTAAATATTTTCTTAAAGTGATAGTCTACAAGTACATATTACTAATTATAAATTGTAATCCAAAACTGGTGGCCCAGTTACTACAACAAGACTAACAGACATGATCTGAATGAACAAACAGAAGACCCAAGGAACAGACCATGGTGTATTACTACAGTGCATAAAAGAAATGAATTACAGGAGTTCACACGTTAGGGGGGTCTACAAGACTATGATGAAAATTCAATTTTATGAGAACCTACCTCCACATGTCTGAATATGTTCTACCTCAAGTTATGGTTAAAATCTGAAGCATTTGACGCAATGAGGAGCAGAAAAAAAATCACTGATGAACACTGACTGAATGCAGGACTGCCATTTGCATTCAGCATTTGCACATAAATATTCTCTTACATCATCAGAGGTGGACATTTCAGGTCCAGAAAGTAAAAATCCAAACCAGGATTTTATTTCAACCAACCAGTTGAGTATAAAGAGTAGCAGTCATATAGTACTCAACTGGTTGGTTGAAATAAAATCCTGGTTTGGATTTTTACTTTCTGGACCTGAAATGTCCACCTCTGTACATCATTCTTACTGTGATATGACATAATTACCAGTTATCATTGAACAACGGATCATACATCATTAGGCCAACAGGCCTATTTTTAACTGCAAATAAAAAAAGTATGTACTTCTTCCCATGTGTGTTAGTTCACAGTTCAAAGTTTGGTGGAAAATTTATTTCAATTCTATAATTTCATTTCATGTATTACATTACCAATCTTTTGAGTGACCTCTAAATGTTCACCAGAAGGCTTACAATTTGACACACTTTAACAGTGGCCAAACATAGAACAAAATTAGACTTGTGGAGGTCATGTCTCATGAATTTAAATTTTTTAGGAACACCCTACTATGTGTGTACAGATTAAAAATGTTCAAAGAACGGTAAATTAGTTAAATTACCCAAATATATTACAACCAAGAAGTACTCAGCCAGAACAAACCAGGAAGATGTAAAAAATGCTTTAACAATATAAAATGCAAAACCTGGAAAGTAAAGTTCAATAAAGAGCATTTAAAATGAAGTGCAAGACACCTGATCCAACACGTCCACCAACCAACTTAATATAGACCTCATTTGGAACAAAATTCAGCATTTGCAGGGTGCCATCCAGGATAAGAACTAGGAACTCCTGATCTAAAGTTACTCCATACCTCAATTTCTGCATAAGCATTCCCTGCAGAAATGTGGCCTCCGTCTTCCAGCATATACTGCAAAAGTTTGCCAGCAGAGGGAGACCTCAGCACCGTCGGGTCTTTCTCCTTCTCAAACACACAGGTCTTGTTTCCAATAGTGATTCGGTAGCTAAATCAAGACAGACAGTGGAACTACTGTAGGGACTTCTCGCAAAGAAAAGCATATAGGCCATTTATGAAAATAGGTAACCCGCCACTAACAAAGGCACAACGTGAAGTGCTGCTCCCATCATGCACTTGTGGACAATGGCTCACCTGTCCACCTCCTCTTTCATGTATGTGGTGTAGCTGCTGCCATTGTAGGAAAGCAGAAGACCCCCGTCGCTTAGCCTGTGAACATCTATCTCAATGTCGGAGCTGTTCATGATGATGAAGTATGTGGTGGGTGACTGGCGGGCCACCTATAACGGCACGCTGGAAATGTCAGATCAAAAAGCATTTGGTGCCAATTAAAGGGCAATCAAACAGATGCTCACCTTCAAACAGTACTTGACCCCCTCATAAATCAGATCCACTTCTACAGTATTCAGCAAACTGGCAGCAGGCAGCACTTGGCCCCTAGAAAAGGCAGCAGCCAATCAGACTGCAGATAATGCATCAATTACTCTGCAAACGATTGCACTATGAAACAGCTTGAATATGAATGACAAACCTCTCCAAGGAGTGCAGGAAGTCAGACATGCTTTTCCTGATGCTGGCATCCGCCACATGAAGAGATCCACAGACCACTCCCAGTACTGTGTCGGGCCTCTCGGCCTACCGACGAGAATGCAGGGCAACATTAAGCACCGACAGCACCGGGGGGCAGGGGGGTGCTGCAGAGATATCAGAAATTCACCTGCACTTTCTCAGCAATGAGGTGGTCCAGCCAGCCAGTGTCAATGTCATTGTTCCGGAAACTTTCGGTCTCCAGTAGTTTGATGAGGTATTCCACTGTGGTTCTGAAGTCCCCACGGATAGAGAGCTCCTTCATGGCCACCACCATGTTCCTAGATGTGCACATTTCACTTAGCTCCAACAAGAACATTTACCATATTTTATGATCCATATAATACATGCAGAACAAGCGTTAACCAAACATCAAAGTCCAGGGCAACAATCAAAACACATGAAGGAGGTGGGTAACTCAGCAGGTTAGAGGCCAGTTTTCCTCCAAGACTTTCCAAGCTATTCCAGCCGCATGACTTACGAGATGGCCTCCTCACGGTTCTCCCCCCAGGAGAAGCAGTGTCCGAACTGGGAGTCGGCAAACTCGTGCAGGCCCCCGGCTGCCCCCACACTGAAGTAGCCCCACACGTTCTTGTTGCTGCGGAAGTTGAGCTCCTGCACGGTGCCTGAACTGGGCTTGAAACCCTGACCATGACAAAGAGGTCCACCCAACAATTTTGCTTACATTCTTCCATAATTTCTATGACAACTACAAAAGTTCAGAGGACTAACAACATTATACATTATATGTGCATCGATCTGATATTCAGATTGGTATCGGCACCAATTCATACCTAATTAGACCGATCGGGTATCAGCCATATGTGACCAATCCACATCAGATCCTTACTTATTATAGACTGCTGAAAACTAAACAAGATCCCATTTCTTGTTAAATCGATTTGTACAATCAATCGCACAGCAGCTCTCATTTTAGATGTGTTTTCGTGGCATTCAAGCAACGAGTAACATTAACACTGCTACTCAGTGTATTTGCCACTCAGTGGGTGTGAGCGCAGCGATTTCCGTCTGCTGTGACATCATGCTCATACCCTTTGCAGTAGGAGGAGAATAAAAACATCAGATATGAGGGTGACGATCTGGAAGTACTTTATGCTTGAAACATGTAGCAGCGGAAGTGATTTGCAATCTTTGTAAAAACAAAGTAGCGTTTAATGGAAAATCTCATTAAACAAAGCGCATGCAATCGCGCGAGGCAATGCGATTAATACTTAAAAAGCAATGGATGATTTGAGAGTTTTGCACACTCGCTACAGCTTGTGATACACAAGGGGTTGGTGACGTGACAAAGTGAAAGTGACGCTGTATTGGATCAGTACTCATATTGGCTAATACCCTCTGTTCAGGTATCGAGATCATATCAGCACCAAAAAGGTGGGGTCGGTGCAACTCTGAAAAACATGCAGTCAAAGTTGTTAAATTCCTGAATACAGTGTTTTGATCTGAGGTATATGGCTATGGAAAGCTGCATTTCACCCACCAAAGTTGACACAAAGTATGGAATTAACCGGAGAATACATGCAAAAAGGTGGCCGTCTACTGGCCTATTCTGACCCTCACCTCATCTGGGTTCTCACTGGTAATTCTGGCAGCAATCACGTGACCCCGGGGGCTCGGGGTGCATTCAGGAGCCTCAAAATTGATGGGCGAGTCTCCCCATGGGGACTCTCCGTACAGCACTCTGATGTCCTTGATTCTGTAGAGGGGAATCCCCATGGCGATCTGCAGGCAGACACAGTTCAACCAAACATTCTCTTCCAAGCATTCGAGGCCAGAAAAGGCAGAAACCCTTTAAAAAGCAAACTAATAAAAGCTGCAACCAAAAGAGCTCATTAGGATGACAGGAAGTGCTCAGTATTACCATGACAATGCAGATACTAGTTCCTCACTCAAGGTGAGGAACACATGGGCTGAAACAGTTGGTATTAAAAAAAGACAAAGGGCCTAGAAGGGTTCATTGGGAAACTACCAACTAGATTCAGGACAGGGTATGCGATTTTAGCCTGTTACACTTTTGTTAATTTCAGCAAATTTCTCCTCAGTCTGCTAACTTTCCATTTTGTGTGCTGAAAAAATAAATAAATAAAAACACGTTTCTGCGCAGCCCCGGCTGTAAACAAAGTCACTTGGGAATATACATCTGGCACATGCAAACATGCTGAAGCAATTAAAATGGCCAATAAACAGCCAAAGAGAAGATCTGAAGAAGAAAAACTGAGTTCTTAAATCAGGCAAGGGCAAAGAAAGAAAAAAAAATAAATCAGAGATAGATAGGTACTGCAGCTATTTTGTTGGCAAACATTATGGATGAAGTATGCTGAGAATTCTAAAGTTGCGTAGCATTGCTAATCTTGTTGATGTTTTTATCTTTGCCAGATGTATAACATTATGGCAACAAAATGTGTCCTCCGCATTTAACCCATATGTGACGTAGCAGTGGGCAGCTATTATTTCAGTGCCTGGGGAGGAGTGCATGGGGGCGGCACCTTGCTCAGGGCGTTAACGACCTCAGTGCGCTAAAGTAAGATGAAGGATAGGGGGATTAATACCTGCAGCTGTGCAGCGGGCAGGTTGACATCTCCAATCATCTCTGTGCAGGGATGTTCCACCTGCAGACGAGGGTTCAGCTCCAAGAAGTGGAAGCTGCCATCTTCAGAGTAGAGGTACTCGACTGTGCCAGCACTTACGTAACCCACCATTTTGGCTAGCCGCACAGCACACTGTCAGAGAGTCATTGCACAGTTTATGTGACCACCAGCGAAATTAACGTGAATATTCACTCTGATTAATGGGCAAGGACCCCATCCAAACTATTACGTCTATTAAAACTAGGGCTGCATGATACCACATCCTGATTATGTGGTGCTTGCACAATAATCGCTAGGGCTTCAGATGACACGTGTAAACATTTTCCCGGATGCAGGCTTTTCAGAACTATACGAACAGATATGTAGAGCGACTAAAACAGTAATGAGAGGTGTATAAAGATGCTCAAAAGCTATAAATCTGTATAAATTCGGCATATCCTTGCGTTTAATAAACATGTTGGACTATAAACTGCAAAAAGTACTGCCACCCACCGACGCCTTTTCACCTTGTTTACAGAGATTAGTAAATTTTGGCCGTCACAATACACTTCTCATTAATATTTTAGGCACACTATTAATCTGCTTAAAAACTTAGGGCATAAGTAAACGTCCTTATGGTACCGAAAAGCTGGAATCCAGACAAATGTTTTGCCTGTTATCTAAAGCCCTGGGGTGTTTCCCAAAGCTTTCTTAACGCTACGTCGTTCTTAAGTTCTGTGTTAAAAGATAGAACTAACGAACGACGTAGCGTTAAGAAGGCTTCGGGAAACTCACCCCTGGTGATTATTGCGCATGCACCATATCGTAATTCTGATATCATGCAGCCCTAATTAAAACCAAACCCATTCTCAGAGAAAGGACCCAAAACACCAGCAAAACCTGATGTACAGTAGTGCCCAAAAGTTTTGATTCAAATATTGATTTTCACAAGTCTACTGGTCAATTTTTATGATTTGCATATATTCCACAGTTTATAAAGAGTGATCAGATGAATTGCAATTAACTGCAAAGTCCCTCTTTGCCATAAAAATTAACTTAATCCCATCCATCCATTTCCACTGTATTTCAGCCTTGTCACAAAAGGACCTACTGACATAATATCAGTGATTCTCTCGTTAACACAGGTGAGAGTGTTGATGAGGACAAGGCTGGAGATCACTCTGGCATGCTGATTGCTACTCTAACTCAGACTGGGTGCTTTACATCATTGTTCTTCCACTAGTAACTATGGATACCTGCAAGGAAACACGTGCAGTCAAGAATGTTACCAAAACATCCTCTGAGAGCAACTTCTCCCAACCATCCAAGAACAGTTTGATGACAAACAATGCCTTTTCCAGCATGATGGAGCACCGTGCCATAAGGCAAAAGTGATAACTAAGTGGCTCGGGGAACAAAACATCAACATTTTGGGTCCATGGCCAGGAAATTCCCCAGAACTTAATCCCACTGAGAATTTGTGGTCAATCCTCAAGAGGCAGGTGGATGAACAAAAACCCACAAATTCTGACAAACTCCAAGCATTGATTATGCAGGAATGGATGCAGTATTTCACCCAGATGTTGAGTGACAGCATGTCAGGGGCGAATTGCAGAGGCCTTGAAAAAGAAGGGCCAACACTGCAAATATAGACTCTTGGCGTAAACTTAATGTAAATGTCAATAAAAGCCTTTGGCACTTATACTGAAGTATAATTACAAGCTTTTCATACCATAGAAACATCTGACAAAAAGATTTACAAACAATGAAGCAGCAAACTTTGTGAAAACCAAAACTTGTTTCATTCTCAAAACTTTTGGCCACGACTGTAGATGTAGCAAACCTGAAATACTGAACACTGGCTGGACTGGGCCAGCATACATGTATGAAGCTTTCATACAATACGCTGGTGTTTTACAGTGCTCAGCTCCACAGTTCATACTACCTGCTCCATGTACTCCAGGGTGGATGGCGGCGCTATCGTGGCTGGGGCCTCCTCAATGATCTTCTGGTGCCTCCTTTGGATGGAGCAGTCGCGACCAAACAAGGAGATGGCATTTCCGTACTGGTCAGCAAGGATCTGCACCTCCAGGTGCCTGGCATGCTGAGCCAGCTGCATGACGAAGATGGGCGAGCCAGGAACTTCAGCCTGAACCTAAAGGACCAAAAAATGAGTAACATCATGTACTCTTATGCTGTCAAAACTGGGTCCGGTCACCAGAGTGATCAGATCATGCCATCCCAGGAGATGGGGCTGGGAACCCAGATATGCAGTAAGGCCGTTACCAGGAAACCTACCTGTCTGAATAAGCTGGCAAAGTCCTCAGCTTTGTCCACCTCCCTAATGCCTTTGCCTCCACCACCTTCAGAAGCTTTGATCACAACTGGATACCCAATTTTCTCTGCTCCCTTCAACACACACACACACACACCATTAAAATGTGGCTATTCATCTCCAAGCTAATTTTGGCAACCACCGATTCTTGTAAAACTGGAATTGAATGCCAAAAATGTGAACTATTCTGGAGAGCATAAGAAATACTGAAATATAAAGTTATATGATTTTGACTCTTAATGGGGCTGCATGAGTAAGGCTGTAGGAGATGGATTACCGCGAGTCCCTCATCAACGTCACGCACGCAGCCCTGTAAGTACAGCTCATGGGGCACGCTGATCACACGGCCGAGCCGCTGCTCCTCCTCCGTCCACTCTACCCTCAGGTCTGCAGTGGCACAGCAGCAGAATGTAGGAAATCTTTGTGTGCTGAGTTACTCACTCATACGCCATACTTGGTATGAGGTAGAGAAACCTTTTTGAATATTTTCAGTGTTGATCTACCTTTTAAAACTTTAAAAACAACTCATTTAGTTCGTAATAGTATGCATTTTTATTTTTTATATACAAGAGAAAGCCGCAATTTATCAATAGCTATTACAGTCATGTACGCAAATGATTAAGAATCTTTAGGTTGGTAACATAAGTGGCATCTGAAGCTAGGGGGCGTCACATTAATTTAACACGTATGTTATGTTCCCCGACTTACCCAATGGTAAGACGTTCACATAGCATACATCTTCCCTATGTTTGAGGACTGTCTGATTGATTGGTATTGCCGCAAAATCACAATAGGGTAGTCTGTTACTAGTTTATTTTGCAAAAACTGCACTGCACTCAAACATCAATAACCAATACATATAACTAACTGTTCATTCATAATTTTCAAAATATTTATAGTTAATAAATTTTATACACCGCCTATTCTTATACATTATACATATTCTGATACTACTTTTTAACCTGAAAAAGTCTGGGGTTGTGGCCTGTGGTTCAAACATCTCTCAAAACCTCCCCTGAAGTGTACGCTCATTGATTCGCTCTCTATGAACAGTTGTGAATGACTGATCCAAAAAGCATTTCACCTTCAAGTAACTACTTTAAAAATGAAGCCCACTGCTGATGAAGCATCCCCCTCCTTTCCTCCCTGGTGTGTTCTTTCGACATTTAGTATGTCAGAGGTAAGATTGCCGTTTCCCAGCTCATTAGCCACCAGACTAAGCCTTATCTCACTCTTGAGTGGTACGACATACAGCACCTGATCCAGTCCAGGGCAGGATGGGGATGCTGGCACTCTGGGCCACAATGGAGGAGGCCACCTTGTCTCCCAGGGCCCACATGGCCTTGCCGGAGGGACCTGGAGAGTGGAACATTTAAATAAGCAACATGGTGAGCCGAACACGTCTCTATGGAGAATTAGTAAAGTAGGCCAGAAGCCAAAGTTAGTGGAGCCACACCTAAAAACCCAATGCCCGCCTTCTGCAGAAGCTCCGGAAGTTTGGGGTTCTCAGAGGCATGGCCCCATCCAGCCCAAACAGCCTAAAAAGACAAGGGAAATCCCCAATGAAAAACAGCCACACAGGCCGACATCTACCGACATTGGCCACAGACGCTGAGCCGAAGGAGGCAGCAAGCTGAAGCACCTGCACCGGGATCCGCTTGGCGATATCCGCGATCAGCTCGACATTAGCGTAGTTGTTGTTGTTGGGTCCTCCACAGACAGGTACGTAGTGGTCTGCCATTTTGATGTATTCTGCAGACGGCCACACATACCAGCATTAGCAACCCCCCAGCAGCACCACTGGGACCAACCGACCCGCCCCCTCAACGTACGACACCTGCGTTGGCCTTCAGGTCTTCAGGAGTGACCATGACTACGAAGCGAATGGCTCTCTCGTTGCGGAACATCTCGTAGGACCAGCGCCTTATCGAGCGCATGCACTTCACAGCCGCGATGCCATTGTTGGCTATCAGCACCTAGAAAGAGAGGAATGGTTTGGAGCAGAGTAACAAATAACACCAGACAAGAACATGCTGCACGTTCCTGCCCCATTCTGCATCGTGACCTGAGACCTGAGACAATCTATCCATCTACCACAAGGCGGCTATGCTTTTCTGGGCTAACCACACCTCACTCAGCATTCAGATCAGAATTCAGATCAGATTTGATGAAAGTAACAGAGAAGCATTGCAGGAGCAATATTTTAGTCTTTAACCTGAGTGGAAGTGATCAACTCTCACAAAATATTAAAAACACAGATACACAACCAACATATCTCTCCTGACAGCAGGGAAATGAAACGCTGCCACAGCACACTACTGAGTTTGGAGTGGGATAACCAGTCGGCAGCGGGATAACCAGTCGGCAGCGGAATAACCAGTCGGCAGCAGACCTGGGCAGAAGCCCGGCCAGCGGGCCCCACCTTGTCGATGACTCTGTTTCCGCCAAAACGGGTGATGAACTCAGCCGGCGAGGCCACAGTGAAGTCTCGCTGCAGGTCCATCCTCCTTTGATCGCGGCCCTTCTTCACCAGGTGCAGGCCAGACATGCTGGGCCTGGGAGTGGGGGCGGCAGTGAGAACATCACTAACTTCCCCCCCGATAAGAAGCATTTTGCTGTTTAATAAAATCATCACCATCTCGTCTCTGCTTATGTGATCCAACTAAAATGGCATCTAAAGGAATAAAAACCAGATTTTCTACCGTAAAGTACCAACCCAGTAATAAGTTCCAAATTAAAACATAAAATTAAATAAATAAAACTGAAATAAAATAAACCAGTGCCCTGGCTACCAACGGACTGACCACAACTGAGTGTGTCACCATTCAAAGACCTGTATGATTTCTGAATTCACACCAAGCACCCTTTCACAGGAAAGTGAAATCAGAACAAACTTGTAATTGAAACCAGTCTAAAACCTCACTTATTGTAAAAGCAGCGCAAACATTGTGTTCATTAACTGTGACACAGAGATGCAAAACTAAATCACAAAAACAAAACCAAGCAATAGAATTTGCATTTATTGTTTAGCAGAAAACTTTCCTCAGCCTAAGAAAATAAAACTGACGGACATTATCAATGCACTAGATCCCTCCTTGGGGTTGATCACTGTGTCTCAATTTAGTGGTTTGTCTGGGCTGACCTCCTCCGCAGAACTGCCGCGTTGTACCGCAGAGCCCCCAAACACACAGGCTGCCCGCCGTGCCCGACAGATCACACGCTACACGGCAGCCAGGCAGCCGCTTCCATTTACCTGGCAGTGCTTGTCCTGCCGCGTCCCACGCTGCTCTCATGAGTGTGAGAACCGGGGAGTGTAGGTACCAATAAAAGCTAACGTCTTATCCAAAGATAAACCTTCAGGGAATTAACCCTTTCAGAGTAGGGAGATCACCTCACAGAGGCCTTTGCCTTTTACAAAGAGAAACACTGAAAAACAAATTACCATTTAAAAGGCAATACCAGGTCAGCACACAAATGTGTGGCGAAACACGCAGATGCCGTACTTTAAACTGGTTGCAAAGGCAGAAGTACAATTCACATTGTTTGGACAGAAGGAAATGGAGCCAAAGATCTTTGACAGATGGGCCTGGAACTGACAAGAAGCAACCTGGGGGGTGTTGGGTTCTCCAACAAACTTTTTGCAAAAGTAAGAAGGACGGCGTTTCCCTCCACAGACATCTATCGGTGTGTGAAACTGCTTCAGATGGCAAACTAAAGTCCAAGATGACAAAGTACTTCAGACCTGGTCTGCAGAATACCACTTTGGACCTATGTAATATCTTTTACTTACATGAATGCACAAACTGAAGGAGAAAATACTGTTATCATAGCAGAGGTCACCTTTGTGAAAGTGCAGGGTCTTATCTACCCATTTGCAAACAGAAAATTCACTAAGCTAAGCAACCCAAAAAAAGCATCTACCCATTATCAGTAGGCTTACAGATACCTCTATATGTGTGTGTGCGTGTGTTCGTGCACATGCACATGTATAAAGATAGGATACTCCCTCTTTTACATCTGTAAACAAAAATGTCCCCCACAAGATGATTAGGATGTTTTTGTATACATTAGAAGTAACAGTTGGTGAAAACACTTCAAATAGGAAAACTCTTAAAATCTTTTCTTTACATTGTTCTTTACGGTTGCCCACTGCCCGCCTCTAACTAATAAGCAGGGTGGCAGAAGTGAGATACGGCATTAATTTGTTTTTGTGGGTGAACCTGCAGAGCTGAGAGCCCCAGTCTGCAAATGCGGCTACAAGGTAGCAGCGGCTGCTCACTCACCATGATTTATAAATGGAGGTTAAAGACCATCAGCTGTGCATGATAACAGACATAAGACACATGACAGTGATGTCATTTAGCAGTTATTACGTTTCCTGTTTCTGTTCACAGTCATGTTTAGCCTACATCCCAGTTCATTCACATCCCATTCCCTAGTGACAAAAAGTAGGCTAGGCTAAAGGAACAGAACACAAATACAAACCTAACATTACTGTACTATCAATGATGCTTTGTAACAGCTGAGGCCAAATGATCAGAATCTGTGGACTGAATGGAGTTTCATTAATCGATGTATGTTTAACTTATAATAGTAAAATTATTACAGGCTATTGCCGTTGGATTAAATCATAAATAGGCCTCTTCATTTCAAAACGATATAATATTTAAATGAGAATTTTTGCAGTATCGATATCAAGATACCAAAACTCATAGCCAAGTCAAAATTTTGATATCGGTCCAACTCTAGTCCATTTGCACAACCACCCCACAGCTTTCTCTTCTGCAATGACCGTCTAACACTAAACAATTTATAATGTCCAAGGTACAAGCCTATTCCCTTCACTTTTATCCAATGTGACTTACAGTTGGCAAAGCAGGGTCACCCAGTCCCAGGAGTAATCTGGGTTAAGGGCTTTGCTCATACCCAAAAGCACGTAACCTCCATCCAGTAAAAGAAACATTGCTTGATAAGTTGGAGATAAATTAAATTATCGACCAAGTCTACAGTAAAGGACATTACCAACAAATAACGCAATATGGGTCTCACAGGGTGTACGACTGACTTGAAGAATGCAGGCTTTAAATGTTGGGTTAACAATGTAACTTCTTTTATTTGAAACACAGAGGTTACCCTTCTCAAAAGTCACCAGCTTTGACTTAAGCCCTAACACTAACTGGTCCACTGGCTGCTATGAGACCTACAGAACCCATCGTGAGCACAAAAATGAGCCCAATAGAAAACCCTTGACTTGAGGGCAGCACCAGTGGTGGCCTTAGAGGGCTGGAGCCCGAGTGTCTTTAGCAAAGCCTGGTTCTCTTTGCAACTGCTTTTACAATCAGCGTCACCATGTTATAGTTTCTGGGCTGAGCCCTGGACATCCTACAGCCCTATAGAACGGCTGCAGCTCTTAACCATTTCGGTCTGCAGCAACATTAAAATAAGAATGGGGTTTTTAATTATGGTGGTATGGTATGGTCTGCATTTATGCAGTGAGCAAGACTCATATGAGAAGAATTGTTTTAAAAAGTCACTAACCTTCTGTGTGACAGAGTAAACTCAGGATGGACTTGCTCCCCACCGAGATAAAGCAACAACCTGACGACTTGCAACATGGTTGGTTGCACCAAAAATTGGAAAAGAATTTAAGATTGGTTTAAAGACCTAGGGCACTCAGAAGGTGAGCAGGTGAGAGATCTTACAGGGGTACAATTGCTCCTCCTACAATGATCGAGCAGCTTACAAAGCACTGGACAAAGATAGCTGCTACCAGCTGATACCAAAAAATAACAATAAGTACTTAAACTTATCTATGGTCCTCCACAACTTCAGGATTCCTCCTCTCAAGACTTCCAACTTCCATATTTTCATATCATCTTCACGTATTTTCAGATGATTTTACACACTATTTCAATCATATCGAATCATTCAGGTATCTTTTGTAACCAAAGTGAGTCAATCCTTTTGCCAAACATTTTAAGAGCTATTTCCTTCTTATTCTTTACATAGAGCCAATTTGTTTGATATATTATATAATGCACAAAAAGCCATCACCTGATTTCCTGAATGACTACAGGAACAAGGAAAGACAGGAACAATAAAGGACATTTACATTTACATCATTTAGCAGACGCTCTTTAGCAAACAGGTATGGTTTACACAAGAATTTAATTTCCTGGCCTGTTTAAAAAGAACCATAAAAATGTACTGAGTTATCTGGAAAGTTAAATAACCCATAAACCAATTAACTCTGTAGCACATTAAGATATTTTTCCAGTGGTCAAATCTGTATAGGTTAGTGCTCCACACCAGTTATTTAGTCCATTGTGTCTATGCGTTTCCATAGTCACAATTATCAATGATAAGAAAAGAAAGAGGCCTTACAGATCACAGGCAAATGCACCAGATTAATATCAGACTTAAAACCTTTTGAATAAATATTGGGACAAAATTGTGTGTATTTATGTGAGTAATGTCAAAGCACAGGTTATTGGGGGGGGGGTCACCCAATCAGAGGAGCCGAGGCACAATGATAAACTGCCATTGGGTTCAATAATCATTTAACACTAGTATAATTCTTATTTGTTACTAATAATGTTTTTTTTTTATTGCTTTTTGAAAAGTACCTGTAGGAGTTTTCTAATAGCAAGCAGTAGTAACTGCTTGGATGCAAAAAAATAAATGAAAGTGAACCCCCCCCCCCCCCAAAGACCAGATTCAGTAAGCACTGGTCTAATACAGCCTTTCCTAATGATCTCTTTTCACTCCCATGGCATGCTTATAAAAAAAAAAATCCACAAACAATTACAGTTATCAATTCCAACTAGTCTAACGAAACAAAAATTCCAGATGCTGTCAGTTGGAGTAATATACCAGCTTTGGTATCTTTACAGGGATTAAAGTTACACTGCCTTCCCCCTAAGCCTAAAGATACAGGTTTCAGGTGAGCCGCTGACTCTGACTAAGCGGCCTGCAGCAAACTGGAACCTCCATCACAGGGGGAGGGACTGCCAGTGGCCTTGTGGGACATCGGAGCCAAGCAGCAGTCACCAGTACAGGTGGCACCCCACCGATTCCTGTGTCGCTCTCGGCCAGCAGATGGAGCACATCCCTCTGTGGCACCGTCACCCCGAGACAAAAACCATCCACTTGCTGGAGAATATAGCGAAAATCCCTCATGGCACAATCCAGGGAAGATGCCTGGGCAGTAAACCATAAAGCAAGAATTTTTTATTAGCCAGATAACAAGCCAAATGTAAGAATGGTCCAATAGGAGTGTCACTTACCTCTCCTCCTATTGGACAGTTTCTACATTTGGCTTAAGTTATCCAGCTAAGTAGGAAATTTTGCTTTGTGGAATAGCTAAGTAAGCTAGAATTAATGAATAAATTATATGTATTCCAGTAGATTTACATACTGTTTTATACTTTCCATCTTAGCTAAAGTGCAGGTAAAGATAAAATCACACCAGTTAATTGTTATTTCAACATTATCTAATAAATGCACATTATGTTAGATGAAAAACAAGTAGTTCCTGTTAAACTTCCTGTTGACAAAAACGGCATCATTGCCAGACACTATTTTTGGTGCACAACACAGTTCGTTTACTTAAATCAAGCCAAGACACAGGGCTATTGCTCAGTCATTGTAGTAACATCACAAGCAGAAACCCAAAGCAACTAAAGAGTAAATAAAAAATAAATCCGGCAGCAGGACTTCTAAAGAGCAAGAACCCACTTCCTTTAATCAGTCCCAGGACAGGGATCTTTAACATCGCTCGCATGCCCCTGCTGATAAAGATCAAACATCATCCTGGTGATTGGTCGAATACATCCAACAGACCAGTTACAGATGACTCCCATCACAGCACATCTTTCACACAAAGCTGCACAACCATGACTGGTTTCTTAAATGAGCACCACAGAGGGATGCACTCCACACCCACCCCAAAAACAGGACCCTCTGGCAGGTCCTGCCGGAGTCACAACTTCCTGCAAAAACATGCAACCCTCAGCTCCCTCTAGCAATCCCTCCATCTGGGAGTTTCTGCAGAGCTGCGGAACTATCGCAATCTGAGTACCGAGGAAACGCCTCCACCCCAACTAAACTGCTCATTTATTCCAACAGATTTTTTGGGGGGGAAACATAACAATAACAAGAAAAACTTTTAGGAGGAAAAAATCTCCGTAGTTCCGAATGAGGAGGGAAACTGTTCTGTTCAGAACTCACCCACGGAGGTACTGGAACCAGTTGTGGGTGGCTCTGCCGTCCCCCTCCATTGTTGCGTTTCAGACGGCGAGCCGAAACGCTCCGTCCCAAACACTGTAACCTCAGGCCACCCTCCTTCCTTCCTCCTCCTCCTCCTCCCATGACTATGGCCCCGCCCCCAGCATTACCCACAGACTGCAAGGCTGAAATGCGGGCGCCGTTCGATGGAAACGCCAATCGGCTTTATCTGTAACCAGCCAACTTTTGGTCTGCGCCGGACAAAAAAAACTTTTTCGTAATGCACCAAACAAAAAACTCAGCCAAAGCAGTGTAGCGCTGAACGAAATTCAAGGAACTAAAAGTGAATATGCATCATTTTCTCTTTTTAACAGCTAATTTCACAAAAATACTTTGCAATGAATGACAAAGGGTACCGTTAAATGCCACCTTACCTTTTTTTCTGCAAAGTCCGGACCCCATTGCAATGCGACACCTGCCGTCACCGTGTTCAAAACAATCATTTGGCTGAGGGCGCAACTTTTAACGCGTGTGCAGCGAGGCAGGCAGAGCCAGCCGAAACCCTAGTATGATTAGGGAACAGGACAGCTGACTGTCTTTACATATTTAAACCGGCCACCTTCACGATTTGGTCAGGAACAAAGAAATGCACAAAAGGCATTGCATACCGTGTATTTCTTGCTTTGAATTGATTGTTTTAAAGCCGTTTTTACACTCATAGAAGCCATTGCACAGTCAGGGGATTTGTGTTTTGACTTTGCTTCTTTCAGTTTCTGGAAGCAAACCGCTACTCTCAAAGTCAATGTGTCAAATACTCTTTCCATTAATAGCTCAGAAATGTGCGGAACGCGGTGAAAACACTAGGCAGCACGAGGCGGTCAGGTGACACTAGGGTTCGTCACAACACTCCCCCCTAGTGGCGCCCTCTGGAAACTATACTATTAGAAACATCTGCTAGGAACCCACATGTCCACGACGTCCATCCATCCATTATTGTGACCGCTTAGTCCAGAAAAACAACAGAGGGAGGTCACCTCAGCAGAGCTACCTCCAGCCCAGGCAAGTGGCAGATACACAGTCTCCTTTAAGGGAAAGTAGCTAGTCAGAGTGCAGGGCAGTATTGCAATCGTGGTGCACAGAAACCCAGCATGTCCTGAGCTGAGACCCAGTCTGCTGAATGCCAGTGCAGCGGAGTAACTATGCAAACCGCTCCGTGCAAACTGAAAGTGCGCCTCTTTTCATTTAAATGAGAAGCGGATGTGAAAAACACAACCGAAACAGTGGGCCCATGTCAGATATACCTAAACACACATCAACAGACTCACTGCAACCCTCAACGGTGCATAAATGCAGGGGGGGGGGGGTAGCGTTAAGGATGACTGAACACAAAGCAGCACAACGACTAAATAAAACTGAGCATGCTGTCAATTTCCCCAACACTCTTGTGCAGGATCAGAGACCAGCGAGGCCTCCTTTGGGGTATGTTGCCTTTCACACTACCTCAGGCATTTCACTGTACATTTTGAGGGGACATGAGTGTGGATCAGATGAAGATTAATCAGCATATATTACACTTTAAGGCTGCAGGTTTATGCCTGCTGCAGTCCCAGGGGCATCAGACAGGTATGGAAACCCTAGCAGATTCAGGAAGCCCAGCAGTCCCAAATTCTATCATGCCCCCCTCTCAATTTATAGCTACGCCCCATCGCAGAGCAATCAGGGGAGCTGGGTCTTACCTCATGGTAGCATAGGTGAATGATGGTACTTGGGTCTCAGCGAGTCTTGTGTCCTTTCTAGAAGGTTGCTCCAGCAACACTGGCTCTTCATCAGAAGAGTTCTCCTCAGATGCCCCCAGGATAAACTTAAGGCGGTCTCTGGCCTCCCCGCCTGAGCCTTGGTCCACACTTCCTAGCAGCATCCCTATACCCTCATGAGCCCTCTTAGGCTCAACACAGCCTGGCCCATCCATTGGTCTGTTGTCCAACACGCCACCATCCTGCCTAAGCGTACCGCCTTCCGAACTGCCCGCCTTCACCACAGGGCCACTGCTTGCTGGGTCAACCTGCATATGCTCCCTCGCTTCAAGCTGAGCTTTAATCCCCGTCTCTGGTCCCGGTGCTGGCTGAGTGAGACGCCACAACAGCCACAGGGTTAGGAACCCAGAGAGAATGAGAAGGAGCATTCAGAGACCTGGATCGTGCAGGAGCTGCAGTCAAGAAAGAATCAGAAAAGAATATATCAAACAAACATAATGGAAGAGAACAGCCATAGCAAATATTAAGTCGACATTTGTCATGAATAAATGCCATAATGTATCAGAAAACCTTGTCACTATATATAGTGGAATTTCAGCAATGGGATGTATGTGATCCCAAAAAATAAAAGCAACTTCTTTTTATTAAAAAAGTAAACACTTACTAGTACTTTATTTTCAATAACGTCAAAAAACAATAAAGCCTAAATTCAATCTTAAGCACTCCTAAAGAGCGTCATTTGGGTTCTTCTGAACTGCATTTAAAACAAGACAGGAAGAGCAGACTGGCAGAAATACGGCGTTGTATGAACGGGATAACATGAAAGCTTTCATAAAATACTGAAGGAGGGTGAAAAACGGGACGAACACATCGCTACTGCACAGTACAACAAAAAAGCATGCAGTGAACAGCTGAAGGGGGACAACTGTCCCCTTCGCGCCCTACCAGTTTCGTCATGTTACCAGTTTGGGGGAAAGGTCAGCTGTCAGATGGATTATGTAGGAGGTCAAGTGGGAGGACAAGCAGGACAAAATACACATAAGATGTCAGCTGCAGAAACTGAACTACACTACCACATTTGCTCAAAATAGTGTGTCCTACAATATTTAATAAATAAAACCGACAATCGACTTATTTCAAAACACTTTTCAAAAATCAGCTTTGTGATGGGGCATCAGTCTTCTGACTAACAGCATTCGTTTTTCAACACGTATACGCTGTGTTGCACAAAATTTCAAGACACACCGGATGATATTATGCGACCTCACCCGCTGCAGCGACGTTTTCACTTTTAATGAAAGGATCGCGTCCCCCATACAAGCTACAGCGTTACAGTACTGCGGAGTACGGAGCACCACGCTTTCCGCAATATTTGCTTATTTGTAATCCCCGCCTATCGCCCCAAACCATGCGTACCGACATATTTTAACTAGTCAGATGCCGTCTTGGAGGTAAGAGAAGCGCTTCTACAACTTACTTTGCAGCCAAAACGTCTTAAACATTCGTAAACGTTCATACAGCTACTTACAGAGGCAACTAACTTTATTTAATATTAATCTTTAAATATTAAACTTAAATTGATTTGTTTCAGCGCTGAACCTGTGCCGCTGCCAGCTGAGATTCTTGAAGAAACGTCTTAAGTTTTTTCCATACTCAGACAAGCAGATACCCTAGCAGATTTTTATGTGTAAAACTACCTAAAGGCGGATAAGGGATCATTTATACATCTATCGCAGTTGTATTTTAACGCTTACCGGTGCGCTCACACTATCGTATTTGCCGCGATCGCTTAAGCAGACTGAGTAAACGAGCGGTGATTGCAGAGCTGTTAACTACTAAAAGCTTTAGCCACACTTCACCAATTTATGCTTAATTTAAAACCCTCGCACCAGATGCCGACCAAAGCACCCTTCAATTCCGAGGTCAAGGGCTGATTCTCCTACCGGAATGTTAATAGTTATAAAATATCAAAGTCAGACACAATATATTTATAGTATTAGTATTCATTTTTATCATTATTTTTTACAGCTTTCCGGTGAAATCTGCAAAATATTTGGCATGAAAAATAAATAACCTAAATATATGCTAATACTGGAAAAAGATTATCCTACCCCCTCAAAGGCGGCGATCGTGTAGTAATCCCGGGGAAATGGTGCCCATAAAAGTACTGAGAATAGTTAGGGGTGTGTGCCAATGTTTACACTCGGGTGCGTCTTTGAGCCTCGAGGTGCTGCACAAGCCAGGGACATTGCGATGATGCAACTGCCACCTAACGCCAGATGAGCATGCCTACGGCCGTCGGATTTTCGCTAGTTAGTCAGTCAACTGGTTAGTTGGAGCTCCGCTCGAAAGTAGATCAACGAGTTCAACATCATACTGTAACGGCATACTCCATCAATGCACCGCATTTATCGCATGTCGAACTTTTAAAACAGTTTATCATACTACTCAAATCTCTAAACTTCTAATATGCTTTTTACAAATTTGTGTCCTAGAATAGTTTGCAACGCTAATCTCGAATCACGTGATTGTGAGTTGTCATGTGACCGCAGAGCCATATTTCTGAATGTCACGTGGAATAAAAAGTAAAAAATGTAATTCGAAAACACGCACTGTATAAATCACGCAACAGTAGCATTTTATTGTAAGAAAAAGCAGCTTCTACTGATTAAAAAAAAAACTGACACATTTCCAATAATATACAGAAAAAAATGTAATTTTTATCAAAAAGCTCATATTTATGCAAGCCTATACTTTTGCAAAACTATTGAAAAGCAGGTTATCGTGGTTATTAAACTGCACCGGCACAAATGTAAATACGGACAGTCCGCCGCGGTTCTCAAAGCGCTTTCCAGTCTATCGGCTTCTTCCCGGTTTTCCGTAGCAGCTCGTTGGTCTTTGAGAAGTGCCGACACCCGAAAAATCCGCGATGAGCCGATAAAGGGGACGGATGCACCGTTTCCAGGATGTGATGTCGTTTCTAAAAGACAAAATGCATTTCTACCTTGAAACAACAACCTAAATTCCTAAACTATCATTTCCAGTTGCCGGCTGTTTATGTATACGGCGCTTGGAAGGCTCGGGAGTCCTTCAGCAGTCCCTAGGACAGTCATAACATACAAGACATTTCTACAGATACAACTAAACACTTCATGTTAAAATATTTTTAACTTCATACTATGTATAATGTTTATATGTCTGTGGATGGACAGACTACATACAGGTAACATCCAAATCCTGTATTTCTTGCGTCAGGGTGTACTTAAAATCCTGGAGCCCCCTTAATTGAATGAGAAACCCCCACAGCACCTGCAAAAATGTCTGGCATCACCACTGGTTCCTCTGTAAATTGTGAGCTCTTTTTACAGCACGGGAATCAGATGAGACATATCTGGAGTCATGGTTTTGGCTCAATCTGAGCTTTTAATTCCTTAAGCAATGAACTGGGTAGTTATTAAACTCTGGGTATCAGATTTTATGCGATAGTAAATTAATTCTCTGACACCCACAGGAAAAAGGCACTGCAGCCCCTAGACGGTGCCCCTGTCAGGTAGTGCCTGACCTCGGATGCTTCTCAGGCAGACACACCCACCCGGTCGATGGCTGCACCCTTCTTCTGAGCGTAGGAGCCCCACAGCATGAAGACGAGGCCGTCCAGGTTACTGCTGAGCCACTGCACCACGGAGTCGGTAAACTTCTCCCAGCCCTTATCTTTGTGCGAGTTGGCTTGGTGAGCACGAACCGTCAGGACGGCATTAAGCAGCAGAACTCCTGAAACAGAGAACAGACGTCTTAATGGGTCAAAAAAAAGGGTTTAAAAACTGGCAACACGACAAGTGAGCCACAGGAATTCTGCTTTACATTGTTTATACCCAGGCAGATACACTATAAACTCACACAATTTCTGTGGTGGTCTGTGGGTCTGTATTGTCATCTCTGAAAATCTATCCTGCATGCCATGCACGGCTCTGCACTCCTACCTTAGGTGAAAACTTTTCCCAGTATAATATTTTGCCTGATCTGTGCGCCAATTGAAATATCCACTAACAGAAACACCAATCTGGTCATGCTGAATTGCATCAGACCAATTTGTCACACACCCATCCATCACGTCACAGACTCAGTGTTTATTAGAATATAGTAGCAATAGTTAACTTCAGTTATTATATAACATACACATCTGGAGCATGAGAAATTTTAAAATGCTGTGTGTCATCTATAGAAGTTGATTCTGTGGGTGAATCTATTATGAAATGTGCTTACTTTCATTACTTTAACTATGCAAAACTGGGGCATTACTTCTTGTTATCGAAATGTCAAAGGGCAGTTGTGGGCCGCACTATCGCCTTACACCACCAGGGTTGAGGGTCACCCTTCCCCGGCTCTGGGGGTGGAGTCATTCTTCAATTCAATTTTATTTATATAACGCTTTTAAGAACAGTCATTGTCACAAAGCACTTTACATATAACCGGCCCGAACCCCCACCAAGCAAGCCTGAGGTGACAGTGGCAAGGAAAAACTCCCTCTAGCAGGAAGAAACCTTGAGGAACCTATATTGGGAAGGGGACCCCATCCTCCCATTCTTGGGTTTGGGCTGGTCTTCCCCAGGTACTCCTACACGTTGCGCCACATGGAGCCACTAAATTGCCCATAGCATTTGACTGTGTGTGAGCTCAGCATGTGACTGGCATCCCACCCAGGGGGTTACCCCTGCCCTGTGTCCTGTGCTTCCTACGATAGGTAGCTCATCCAGTTCATTCCATAAATTCTTACATTGGTCAAAAAATGTAATTTGTAATTCAAGGGTTCTGTCCTATTTCCAGTTAATAATTTCACTATATAATTTGGAAGGTGGTAATAAATAAGATTTTGGAATAACATTATTTCAACAGTTGCTCCCAACCAACCCAAACGTTCTTCCAAACTCAGAGCACCTTCAGAAGGCTGATGCAGTCTTTAAAACAAAGATATTCCCCAGTCTTACAGAATGTAGCTAGCATACCTTGTCTGGCCCATCCTGTGAGATCCCCATGTCCTGGATGCCGGAAGCCTTCAATGTCTGCAGCCAGCTCTTTGAACATATTTACCAAACTGACAAGCAAAACAACATATTACAAAACAGCCCCAAGGTAAGGATGGTTCTAGGGTGATGATGATTGATTTGAAAAATAATAACTGGGGCTTTGTTAAATCACAACGCAGCTTTGAGCATGTGGAGGTACCTTGGTGGAGGTGGAACCGGCTTCTGCACACTGAAACAAAGTCCGTGTGCCTGACCAGGACCGTGATACGGGTCTTGGCCAAGGATCACCACCTTAACCTAACAGTCAAGAGGCACCTTTGATTCCCTGACCGTTACTTATACATGCAAAGCAAATATAACAAAGATGAGCACAAATAAATCTTAAAAAAAAATGAAATGGGCAAATTCTATTCCATTTCAATACTCACATCTTGAATAAGACACATTTGTGTCCAGGTAAAAACTTGGTGACTAGGTGGATAGACCGTGTGCTGTTTCCTTTCTTCTGAAACGAAGGACATCAACTGGACAGATACAAATTAAATAAGGCATTGCACAACTGCACAATTTTCATAGATTGTTGTCATTTATACGCAACTCGTGCAATTCCGTCACGAATTTACTTACCTGAGTGAAATAGGGCTTCCCAAATTCGGCGCTCAGCCCCTTCCGCCAGCTCTCCCCGATCCCATCCGGTGCATGGCGCAGATACGGAGCTTCGATCTCTGCCAGCCTGGTGGGGCTCGACTGGGAAACCAGCGCCCGTTTGTTGCTTTCTAGTTTCGTCTTTTTCACCGGAGCCTCCTTCTGCTTCACAAGCATAACGTTGCAGCTTCATTAATTCATTGCTTTTGGATAGCTTCGAAAGGTAGTAACCTTCGGAGAGCAAGGCTTGCGGCAAACATCAATAAATGAAACATTTAAATGATTAAATTTCATCCACCTAAATTTCATTAAAACAATCTCTTTGGAATTATAAGCTTGACTGTGTTTGCAGGCAGTACTTATATAGTTATTGTGTCTAATAACTAGGTTGGTTGGCATAATTGTTTTAATTTCTCTTGGCATTCGGAATTAAAATACTCACAGCGCCCTTTGATTCCTTCTCCCCAGTGTCATTTTGCTCTGCAAAAGTTCTTTTCTTGCCAACAGGAGAAAAGAAGCTTGTTATAGTTTTTTGTCCGATCATGTTTAATCTCTGTCTGTATGTTATTTTGCGTTGCTTAATGTAAAATCCATTGAAGCGCCATCCAAGCTGAGGAACGTGAATGATTCTTGCTTCCTATTTGGGCGAAATACGTGCTGCAAACGTGCCCTTGTGATTCAGCAAACGAGGCGTCCCGCCCAGTCCTAATCCCGATGCAAGCTTTTTTGGGGGGGGGGACGAAATGAGTGAACGCCAAATGCACTACAAATATCACTAAAAGAAATAAATTAGATAAACTCTGTGTGGGGGAATGAATAAATATTTGCATCTTTGCCTTTTAATTGTGGCTTATCAGAAATTGCTAGCAAAGATGATAAATTGATCTTTTGCTCTGCAGTCTGAATGGATCCATTTGTAACCTCGCCCTGCAAACGGGCTAATGCCACCGGAGAGAGCGGCAACCCGAGAAAAAGAATCAAACTGGAGGAAGAGGATGAGGAAAGTCCAATCATGGCAGAGTTCTCCAATCCCATTCCCTGGCAAAAAATTGAAGCAGAGGAACTGGACTGTGACTATGCGCTGCTGTTTTCCAAACAGCAAGCAGATGAGCTCTTTAAGAGGCTTGAGAAAGAAGTGGAGTATTTCACAGGTACTGTAGGTGATTTCGGCAGAACCGTCAGCCAGCGTGGATTGTTTATCCGGTGTGTAAATAAAGTGGTTAAATTCTTTCTAATTCTTTCTTAATTTTTGCCAACCTTTCCAGAGGAGGAGACCAGGGTCTTGGTGTTTGGGAAGCTGCACAGAATACCTCGGAAGCAGGCGACATACGGTGATTCGGGTCTCATGTATTCCTTCTCTGGGGTGCATCTTTTAGCGAGGCCATGGACACCCACGTTAGAGTACATCCGTGATGCTGTCACCGACGCCACGGGGAACACCTTCAACTTCGTCCTTGTAAACAGGTAAGACAGCAGAGCTGCAATAAGGGTGTCAGGTCCTCTGTACTACAGTGTCTGCTTGTACTATAATACTTTCAGCGGTTCTCAAAATTAGTAATGTGTTTTTTTTTTTTTATTATTTTGGGTGGGGGGTCTCCAGATAACCATTGCATTAGTTAGATCAGGGATTCTCAACCCATGTGTCGCAACCCAAATTCAAGTTCTGAAAGGGTTGCGAGGCAGAGTTGGAAAAGTACGCATTTTAAAATAAGCAATCTCCTGTGCTGATCCACGATCAGATTTCCCCAGTCCTTTAATAAACCTAGACCTACATAAACGGGTCATGGTGCTTAACACAAAACTAGACAACGCTCAACCAATCCAAGAAGCCAAACCACAGATGCTTAATTTAAAATTCATTGGCACATCCAGTCAGATTTGTGCAATAGGCATTGATTGGCGTGTACTGCCCGCTTAACCATAGCGTTAATTTAGACCCATACTTGATATAGGGTAACAACTGAGCTGGCATGATAAAAAAAATATTGGGTTGTGGTACAAAAAGGTTGAGAACCACTGAATTAGATGAGAGTATAGTACTACATTCATACTTCAGGGTTGGGATATATCACTTAAGTTTCAGTCACTGAGTTTGCCCTTGTTGATGTAGCAGGTTAAGAGTCACATGGAAGATATGCTTAAGGCTGTTGTCTCATAACCACTTAGCCAACTGTGTATGGCAGGTACAAAGATGGGCACGATCACATCTGCGAGCACCGTGACGACGAGCGGGAACTGGACCCCACCTGCCCCATAGCCTCGGTATCCTTGGGGGCAGCACGCGACTTCATGTTACGGCACCGGGATTCACGGGGTCAGCAGCCCCAGCGCCGGATCAAGCCAGTGAAGCTGCTGCTGGCCCATGGGAGCCTGCTGCTCATGAACCAGCCCACCAACACTCACTGGTACCACAGTGTGCCTCCCCGGAAGAGGGTTCTCACGCCACGCATCAACCTCACCTTCAGGAGAATCGTAACGGAAAACGTCCTTGGACCAGCTCCTGCACGGGCTCGCAGCTAGGCACTGTATCAGCAAGGTGCACCCTACACTGGGTCACCCCAACACTGACATGACTAGTTAAGATGATGGCTTTTCGATGTGTTCCTACTAGGACTTCTCAGATTTGGAGATATGTTGTTTGTGACCTGAAGTTTAATGTCAGTGAAGCTGTTGTTCAGGGCAGAAATATGAATCCTGTAATCAGATTTATTTTTTACATCACTTCAAAGTGGGAAGAGGATTTGTGAAAGACAGTATCACTAAAGGTCAACTGGCAAGAGATTAAGTAAACAGTACTACCCTCACTCTTTCACAGTTTTTATTAATTTCTCATCACTGAAATATGAAAACAGAACAGACCTGGAGAACATGGCAGTTTACTGAACAAGTTTAGTGCAAATGGGTTATGAAACATGACGAGGAAGCCCTCCTATCTCACTTAATACTGGTGAGGTTCGGGTGACAGGCAGTATTTTCACCATGACATACTAGACTTGCAAGAACAAGCAAAAGGCTACAGCAGGGATGTTTCATCTGGATTTCACTGTAGAAACAGGACTTTTTTGGCAATTTTAAACAGGTTAAAATGTGAGGCTTTCACGTTAGTGCACACTTGCACAGCACTGTGCTCATTAATGTTCTACCTGGGCAGACACTGCCTGGGGGGGGGGGGGGGGGGGGGGTGTCACAGGATGTCTGATTGTTCTGCACAATTAAATAAAACAACTATAAAGACTTCAACATTTCGTCTTTACCAGGAACAGAAGTACGAGAATTGTGCAGTTAACTTGTACAATGAAAAACGAAAGGGGGACCCAAACTGTACTTTTCAAAGGATAGAAACACATACATAGCAGCAAACATAGTGAGACTGATTTCTCTGCAACACATTTAGCATCATTGACATCTTGAGACATTTCCTGGGCAGGGTTCACACACAGTCAAGGACAACAGGAAAACCAGTGACGCTGTGCTGTGTATCACAATTACCCTACTGAATAACCCAAATGCGATTAAATGATGTATCCTTTTGCAGACCTTTAAAAGTCTTAATACAAACAACCCTTTTTGTAGAATATGTCTAGTCAAGCTTAATTATTTTTGTAAATCACATACTAAAGTGCTACAGGTCATTTGGATTTTAAAGCTTGTGAATCATAAGAATCGACATAGGTACCTCTAGAATATTTTTAAACATTTTTGTATTTTGTTTTGATGCTTTGGTCCACACTCAGTGAAATTAAACCGTAGACTTGCCCATTTCCAACCGACAGTCAGTCTCTGGGATGTTAGAACGTGGGTGACCATCTGAGATGTAAACTTAGAGTTATGCGAGAGGCTTGTTCCCCCGATTTCTTCAGTAGATGAAAATGGGATTTAAATTTGCTCTCCCTTTTACAGTATGCTTCCATGCTTTGTGGCTTAACTGTTCATTCCTGGGGAGCAATTACATGAGTAGCTGTCCGTGTGTTGAGGCCACCAAGTGCCATGTGTGCATTCCTGCATCAATCGTCTACGTTCCCCCAGTACCTCACATCATGTTAGAAATACAGCTCCTGTAGACAAAGTGAAGTACAGAAGGCAAGCATCTGATGGAAAGGTGCTAGGAGACTCACTGAAAGAGTCAAAGTCCATCACTGCCCTTGTATGTGGACGGTGTCCGTGCCTCATTTTGGGGACTGCTCTCTGGAACAGCAAGGATCATCAGTACAAATGGGACCCCAAAATGGCTAAAGGATTACAGTGACCAGTCTAGGTGGGGGTGGGTGACACAGGTGGAACCAGGAGACTCTCTGGCCCTAGCCGGCCCCTCCCTCTTCCTTTGGCCTCGGTCCAGGGCGCTGCACCCGCTCGTAGAAAAGCAGGTAGGCGTTGGAGGCCAGCACCTCCTGGAAGGAGGCCTTGCGCACTGAGTCGTCCGACACCCAGAGCCAGTGGGCGCTAAAGGGGGAGGAGCCACGGGGAGAGGGAGGGCTCCGGCGGTACGTCACAAAGTGTCCTGAGTGCATGTCCCCATGATGGACCAGCACGGCCATCAGCCGGAAGAGGTACACAGAAGAGCTGTGGAAGCACAGGTCATCGGTCAGGCAACTCGTCAAAACAGCCACAAATCCATCCTTACTGAGGAGTCAACACTGCTGATTGGGAAATAAAATGTATACAGAGCGATCCTAATTTGTAGATTGGGTACAACTACTTTCATTAAACAATCGAGGTCTTATCCAATTAGACCCCAAGGAATAAATCATCCTGAGACAGGCTGCCTTCCAGATACACTTCCTGTTTCAGGCACCTTGCCTACCAACCTCCGCTTCCTGTACCATGTACCCTGGCCTCCCCCCTACTCACCTGTAGTCGTAGATCAGTGTGAACTGTGGACTGAGGACAGGGGAATGGAGATAGCCGGAGGAGCAGGTTCCATTTGAGAGGGGCTTGTTATTGTTGCAGTGCTCAGTATCTGTGGGACAGTGATGACAGGAACATTACTGACTACATGGAGCATCCCAGCATGCAGTGCACTCGGTACCACCTCAGGGTCACCTGCTGGAGCAGCTATACCTATTCCATTTGAAGGCTTCTTCTCCAGACCCTCGGCCTGGCTGTCTGCTGGGACGCTCCGTTGGGTCCGCAGCGGCCGCAGCGACCTCTGACCCGTGGATCTGTGCTTATAGCAGTCCATGGACAGGTACTCAGTGAACTGGACGTGCTCCTGTTTCTTGATGGGTGTGCCCTCACTGGACCAGGTGAGTCTCTGCAGGTGTATGCACAGGCACTGGGGCAGCTGAAAGATTGAGAATTCAGAGACATAACTGACTGACACCTGTGTGCTGCACATGGACAAAAAGATCAAACATATTAAACTGGGACCCCACCCGATACTCTGGGAATCTGAGAAAGTAGCATGTTGCTCTAATTTTTAGTAAAATACTACCAAAAACACAATATTTTGGATTAATATTATAAAATAGTCCATTAAACCTTCTTTTTAACCTACTTATCACTCCAACTATACACCCTCCAGCTGGCTGGTTGGCCTTGTCCCCGAAAATCTTCTGTCATCAAGGCTAAACACCATCACAAGATGAACCCTTAGTCACAGTGACTGAGAATATGACGCTACCATTATGACTGTAACACAGTCAAACCAACGCCTTTCATTACACTTCTGTCTGGGCAACTGGTTTAGAATACCAGTTCTCAACCCAGTCCTCAACCTCACAAATCGTCTTCACTTTCAGTCCACAATCGTCTTCACTTTCAGTCCACAATCGTCTTCACTTTCAGTCCACAATCGTCTTCACTCTCACCACTTGCATTCCTGCAGCTAGGTAATCAAGGGCTTTATAATTAGCTGTGGAGTAAAATCAGGTGGACAGACAGAACAAGAAAATGAGATCTGGGATACCTTTCCCAAAAGCATAGTTGCTAACAACGCTAGCAACTTACATAGCTGCTAATGGGGGCTTTTGGGAAACGTACCCCTGGGCAACTGAGGATAAGGCTGAGGTCTGCTGGTTTAGAGGTGAGAGGACCACTTAATGAACAGACAGGGAGGGGCTCCCACCTTTCCCAGTTTGAGCTGCTTTATGAATGTCGTCCTCTGGCTTTCCACAACACGCCCCCCCACCGAACCGCCTGCCTGCATCTGGAGAGAATCACCAGTCAGTATGGAGCCTCCTGGACGATTGTCTCACCTCCGTTCAGCCGAGTATGGAAGACTTTGTCACAGAAAAGTCCATCACAGAAACGGGGCCGGCCTACCTTGGTGCAGTTCTCACATTTCACCTCCTTGATAGTCTCCGAGGAGATAAAATGCTGGAGGCAGTGGTCCAGAGTAACAAGTCGACCCTGGAGAGAGGAAACAAATGGCTTATGGAAGATGTCCTTGTGAGGGAATGTGCTTGATGTGTTTTTATCATACCTTCTGATTCCTAACACAAACAGGTTTGATGAAAATGAGTCAGCGATTCAACAGCCCAGACAACTGGTATTCAAAAGTCGTAATATACCATTTACACAAACTATTTATACAACACCTTTCCACACTAATATTTTACATTGTGATAGTTTCTACTATCACAACAGTACATAAAATAAAAAAGGAAAAGATAATAATAATAGTAATAATACTACAAATAATAATACTAATTACAAACCCTTTGTGACAATATTCTTTCTTATTTTACAGCGCACAGATCATCATTCCAAATTCCTGTACCTATAAAAATACACATTTATTGAGAGGTTTTGGTTCTGTTCTTTCTCTGGTCTTACCAGTGGTGCAGGGGGGATGGACAAAGAGAGGCTGTCGAATGAATCGTAATGCACAGGACTCTGCAAACAGACAGGTGTCAAAAGTGAAACAGCCAAATGAGAAATAGGCAATTGACAAAAGCAAGCTGAAACCATGTGGCCAATCACCTGTTGCTCACAGCGCTTGCAGGCCATGTTGCTCGTCATGCGCCCGTGAAAAGGATGCTGGGATTTCCAGGGATTTGGTAGTGGGTGCAGGGGGCCTAGTGGGGGGAGGGGGGAAGGCAGTGAAATTATTCCCTGATCCACTGGGCATTTTAGATTGAACACCTGCACGCTAGTACAAAATTAACACACCCAGGAAGGTTCGGGCAGCCCGATAACCTTTACAGTTTTATCTACCATTGGCCTGTTTTGTATCCTCATTATCATTAAGCTCTTTGGGGCAACCGTGTTGCGAAGGGACCTACATAAAAGTAAAGTCTGGCTTCTATAATCTGTCTCAGCAGATGTTTGAAGCAGCACTTCACTAAAGGCACAAAGAGCCTTACCACGACTCCTGCAACTCATGCTCCAGTCACTGGCCTCCGGGACACTCTACAAACCAACCAGATACAGTGGGTAAAAATAAAGAACAAATTCAGAGAAAGTTACTCCAGAATATTCTGGCTAATTATGTCTTAACCTTGATCACGGTTGAGCCGGACTGAATTCTTGCACCTGCCTAAGCATTTACATTTATTACGTAGATCTTTATGAGAGTCATTTAAGTCCACCATTTTCATTCGCCTGCAGCATGTCTGGCTGGGTATGAATTGAGATTCTGGGCCAGCTAAGGCGGTGGAATAAGGAGGATGGACAACGAGCAGAGAGATAATGACACCCTGGTGCTGGGGGTGGGTAAAGTGACGAGCATTTACCTCCAGGGACTGCATGTCGAAAAGATGGGTGACCTTGGGCAGTCGGTCTCGCTCCTCCTCCAGGGAGGAGGTGAGGACATGAAAGAGCTCATGTGCGTCCTGAAGAGGGGAAGTATGAATGCCTCAGGCAAAGTCAAGCATTAGTAACGTCACTTGAACTCTGTCCTCAAGCAAGCAGCACTAAAGCACCCAAAAGGGATCGCCGTGGTTACAACCAAGGCATGTGGGAATATCCAGAACCCACCTGTTCCTCAAAGGAGCTGATATGCCACCTGTAGAGCTGGAGGACTTCCAGAAGACAGCCTGCGTCGAGAACGTCATCTTCCCCGGGCTCATGACTCGACAGTGCTGCCAACAGCGACAGGGCCACAACAGCAGTCGACAATAAAAAAGCATGGAAGAAAGAGGAGTTTAAAGGAAGGCAGAGAGGGAACACCAAGACGGCCTACCCTTTAGAAGCTGCAGGAGGGTCCTGGACAGCCGAGGCTCCCTCTCCACCTGGTTCTGATCCAGATTGTTCCTGCCTGTAAATTCCTCCAGCCACCTGATGAAGGAGGGACAGGCTGCCAAGCCCTGGAGCAGAGAGTTCATGAAGCAGGTGTTTCCGAGATTCAGAAGCCCAGGCACCATACCTAGAAAAAATAAAATTACCAAGGGGGCAGCATGCAGATATTAATCTCATTTCTGCTCATGTGCTCCACCTTGCAGCAATGACAGTCCATCTACCATTATATAAGGCAGCATTCCCCAACCTGGTCCTTGGGGAGCTGGGAGGGAACAAAAACATGGACTATCTTGGGGTCCTCGAGGCCCAGGTTGGGAAACACTGGTATACGGAATATTTAATCTCTTTTAAAAATGATGAAATTTGCACCTTTCTTCCGCTTTTTCCTCTCCGCTATTGGACCCCAAAGGACATAGACTCCAGCAGCCATAGCTGCCGCTATTCCGCCAATGACACCCCAATTTTTCATCATCTTGTTCCTTAAAAAAAAAAAGGGTCTGATGCAAACTTTTATCAAAAAAATGCATATGAGACACGTTGCTAACATTTAACAGTTTTACCTGGGACAGTTCTGCAAGGCAAACTTGTTCGTTTTTACCATTATAATATGCAAACAATAATAGAGGGACAGAAAACCATATAAAGCATTACACAAAACAATAAAAATCTTTAAAACAAGTTAAACACTTAATTCCATTACACTTATGTTGATGCCATTACACCAATGCGCCATAATTGCTTTGTAGTAATTGCCACAGTACAGGGCTGCTGTGTGACAGGCATCCAAAGCTGATACTATCACCTATAGGATGAGAACTGTTAAAATGGGACACTTTCAGAAAATTTATAGAATCTTCTCAACGTCTTGAATCCCAGCTTGATACCATTCTAAACACAAATAATGTCCCTTGAACACTATATGGAAAAGAAAATAAAGTATTACTAAACACATATATTACCTGCAAAGTTTAAGTGTGGCATTTTGTCAGGTGTCCCATTTTAATACTAATACTACTAAATACTAACACTTTAATACTAAAGCTGCCTGCTTAGTCAAATGCGCTGTATTCGTGCTCCCTGACATTACCTGTGTACCACCCACCAACTCACCAGTCTATCAATAAACCAAGCAGACCCCGCTATCAGACCAGCACTTTAAACATTTCCTTAGAATTATTTATCCCTTTCTGACTAAAAATCGTCGCACTTAAGCATGGTGAACGGCAATGCAAACGTCGAGTTACATGCTGTAGCTGGCTAATAAGCTAGCTAGCGAACTGTAGGACCAAATGCACGTTATGTGCAGTTTTTTCCTTCCGATAAACCCAATTACATAGCCAGCTAGATCCCCTTATTCACATTTAGTAAGTTAATATTTGATTTAATTTATACATAACACTGAAGTTTCATCTATTCTCATCTGCGCACTTTAAGTGGATAAGAAATACCGCTGTCTCGGTTTAACTCCACGCCACAAGCTAGTTAGCGAGTCATAACGTCGAAACTCGACCCCTAAAGCATAGGGTTTGTTCACTAGGATTAGAGTCCAGACCTGACTGTAGTTCCCGTTCTTAAAAACTCCCGAACCAGCTTGTCCGTGTCTTCTGGCCGGCACCACGGCATCCTCACCGGGACTTACCGAGAAACGCAATTAAGTTGGGGTGGAGAAGGCGGAACTAAAATGCGATCGCTTCGTAGCACACGGAATTTCAACCAGTAGGACAACAACAGACTGGTTTATTTATTAATTTATTTATTTATATATTTATTATTTTTATTTATTTATTTATGAATGAATGAATGAATGAATGATGCAAACAGAAACATTGACTAAAACATTACATGCTGGAACTGATATAATTCTCCCTTAAACCAGAAATTGAGGTGGTTGGAAAGAACAAGGAAGATGAAATATATTGTCCCTCTGCTCTTCAGACCACTTAATGGAATATGAACACACTAGTTCTGTCAACATCTGCAGAGTAAGTCACTAAGATATATTTGAATGTTAAACGACAGGCTTATATGGATTGCATACACACTGTATGATCATTGGTGGTGTCTGCATTGCTGCCTATTTAACTAATGCTGATTTCTCTAATTCCAAATAAACTGAAGCTTGATTTTAGAACATTTAAAAACATTCTTATTTTGAGATGGTTTGTACAGTAACGTTTCCAAAACCTATTTTTGTACGTTTCACAGTAACAACATATTTTTTATGCTAATGCAATTGGTGATACTTATACTCTGCAAAAATTCCTGAAAGCATTCATAGAATGTATGATTTGTGGTGAAGATTACATATACTAGTTTCCTGGTTCCCAACATGAATTAATGGAAAAATGTGCCTGAGAAGTAAAACAGATGCAAAAAAAAACCTGTATTGATAAAATGTGAGAGGAACTTAAGTTGTATCCAAAATATCTACTGCACCCTATTTAGCCCAAGTCAATAAATTCCATCCACCCAACTCACCACTTATATTGATCAAGGTCACAAGAGAGCCTGGAGCCTATCCCAGGCAGCTTTGGGCACAAGGCTCGGCTATACCCTGAATTGGATGTTCATCCAGGCAATAAATTATTAATATTAATTTAATGTTGGTGACCGCACACATTTATTTGAAACCAGAGCAATTTAAGGAAGCAAATTAGACATCTTTCTTGCTTGACATAGGATGGGGGAAGTACTAAAGACTACAGGTTTAACACAAAAAAACATCTGCAGCATGAGAGAAGCAGGCAGGGAAGCACATCACCTCTCAGGAACAGTGAAAGGCACCATTGTGCGGATCCAGGAATGAGGTCTAGGCATGAGTCCTGGGGCCGAGGGACTAAACAGTCGATTCTAATGGTTATATAACAGGCTCACATGACTGGATGAGTCTGTCACTTGACATCAGTCTGAGATTTACATTTAAACATGTAAACCACTGGACACAAAGGGAAAGACCAAACACAATGATTAACCATCCATCCATCCATCATCTGCCGCTTGTCCGGGGTTCGGGTCGCGGGGGCAGCAGCTTCAGGAGAGGCACCCAGACCTCCCTCTCCCCAGCTAACTCCACCAGCTCCTCGGGGGGGACACCGAGGCGTTCCCAGGCCAGCCGAGAGATATAACACCTCCAGCGAGTCCTGGGCCTGCCCCGGGGCCTCCTCCCTGTAG